CAAACGGAGGCTTTAATACGTCCCCAAGCTTCAGTGACACTAGAGCGATGCAGTTCTGAGAATAACAGTCTGTGTCACCCAAGTGTCCTGCATGAATCCATGGGAAATAAACACAACGGGCCGGTTCCATCGGAACTGGCCAACTAGTCCCAACATTAGGTCCCCTACTAATTAACTAAATCCGAAAGTCAAACAAGTTGTAGTACATATTTCAATATTCATCCATATGACGATCATGATGACAAATCCAAATCACTACCTATACAGCGCCAATAAACCTGGATATCTACGAAATAACGAAAATATGCTGACGGTTGCATTTCAGATCCCACTGACTCATTCGATGGTAATATTCTGCTCCTGCATGCCTCTTTCAACATTTTGTATGGATTGGTTCGCAGTCACTCTAGTTCTAGACCGAAAAGAATCAAAAATCTACCGGTTGCGGAATCATTAATACTTCTATGCATGTTTAACTGGATACTAACTGCTGTCGTGAGCCTCTTGCAGACTATATTGCTTAAAAAATCGTTTACGGCAAACTAACGTTTTATAAGCCATTTTTAAACTTTTGTGAGTAGTCCACCATATCGACCTAATGTAACGCAGCACTCAGTTGTTACGCTCATTTTCAACAAATTCAAACAATAATGGTGCCTAGGATTATGTCATATAAACTGTTTTAACATATGCAGAGTGTTATTAAACTTTGATAAAGCTATTAGCATTAAATAGCGAAACGTCAGTAAAAACAATATCTTTTTGTTTTTCATTCATTGGGAAATACAAAAACCTTTATTATAATAAATATGCAGAGTGTACTTACAGTCAATATTCCATTATATTCCCTTGTGTATATATCTCGTGTTAGTGAAAAATTTTAGACACATCTACTTCATGTGTGCATTATTATCATGTTGATTATGCCTGTCAACTGGGGTCCCTCATGTGTATAAAGTGTGAACATATTATTACTGCAAGACGCATTTTATTGTTATATGCGGTAATTGACTTCAAGCTTTATTTATTTTCCCAAGTATCTGTAATCCATCCAACGCATACTTGGGTTTTTGTTAATGCGAAGTCAATATCTCTGTTTCTTGATGTGTGCCATTGGGTCACTAGTTATGCGATTTCTCCCACAAACTAAAGATAAAATGACAGCAACCATGTTATTTAACCGTAAATCATGTAATATAAATATGCAACTTAAATAATACTTATCCATGCCTATACAACTTGCGTGTCCTACATTTGTAGGAATGAATATGTACCTTATTATATTATCATTACTACCTATACTTACAAATTGTATGTGTAATTTATCGAATTGATGATGGCTGTAAACTGGCGTCCCTCATGTACGAAAATGATAATATATATTATTGTTATTATTACCAGTAGACAGCTTCACTTCAACTACCTCACAACACGCTGAGGTTTTAAGGCTCACTGTCAGCTGCCTATATAGCAATGTGTGGCGGCTGAGAGGAAACATAGGTGAACTCCGAAATCTCCAAGCACACCTACAACTGAAAATGATCATTCTCACCGAAGCATGGCTAACCCCCACTATCGCCGATAATGAAATCAGTACAGGGGATATGGTTCTGGTCAGGGGAGACAGGGATAATAAGGAGGGAGGGGGAGTTGCTATATCCTTTGACAGGCAACTTAAATGTGTGCGCGCAACGGGCCCACCACTAATTATTTTTTTGTTATTTTTATTATTTTTTTTGATTACAGCTTGATACCACACCGTATTTTCAGTACAAGTATGCCATTTTCAGCATGGATATCGGTAGCCCAAATTTTCCAGGCCGACCATAGATACCGGGTGTGCGTCGGTAGGGGTTCGAACCCCGCACCATGTGCATGGTCGGCGAGAGTCCTAACCACTGCGCCACCGACGCACTCCCAGACTCCATATGGTGTCATTTCACCGTAGGCCACACCAAGCATTTACTTGGTGGCATCTACCGATCTACCACCTGTGGGGCAGAGCACAATCAGATACTGCTCAGCACTATCACAGGGATACGAGACTTGGGCCATGACCAAATCACCATTGCTGGAGATTTCAATGCCCCATCACTGAACCTTGGCTCGGGGTATGCTAAGGGAAAATTCGGCCGAAACCTACTGCAAACTATTCGAAACACGGGACTGGCTGAGAATGTTGGAGACGACATTAGGTGGGGGCTTAGTGGAAAGTCATCAAAACTAGACTACATTCTAACTAGTGTCCAAATACTTGTCGAAAAGGTCCAGATCATTACTCCTATAGGAAGTAGTGACCATGCAGTCATAGGTTTCGATCTCGTCCTCCGTGAGTACTTGCAGTGGGGCGTTACGCAACCATGTCTGTGTTACAGCAAGGCTGACTATGCTAAAATGCGGAGGCTCTTCTCCGACGCAGACTGGCCCTTAGCATGGGATGAGCTGTCTGTGGATGAACACTGGGAAGTGGTAAAAAACATTATTCACTCAGTAATCTCGGATACCGTCCCTTTAGTCACAACACAGCCCAAAAGAAAGTCATCATGGTTAAAGAGAGGCACGCAGCGTATTCTGCAAGGAAAGCGGAAGGCTTGGTTTACGTGGAGCGTATCTAAGAGCCAGATCGAACATGATGCATACCTGGAACTCAGGAACCGGTGCAATGCAAGAGTTAGGAGGGAGAGGAGGTCATTCCAGGCTAACCTTGCTAAAAGCTCCTGGCGAACCCCAAGAATTTGTACCGATTCATGTTGGAAAGAAAACCAACCAACCAGGGGGCATGCGCCTTAGTAGGCCCAAGCGGTCAATATCTCACTAGTCTGGAGATGGCTGAAACATTCAGTTTAGGCTTCGCCAAACAGCTAAACAACAATGTGGGTATTACCGTTACGGACCAAAATGGTGGCACCACTATTTCACAGAAGGAAGACCAAATAGCCACCCCCAAATAAACCCTGCAATAGTACTGAGAGAGCCTGGGAAGTCCCCAGGCTGTGATGACATCAGGCCATCTGTTCTGAAACAGTGCGCCGAAGCTCTCTGTAGGCCCTTATGCGACTTGTTCCAACACTCCATGGAATCGGGGAAACTGCCAAGGGAATGGAAAAGAAGCATCCTTTCTCCGATCTTCAAGGGTGGGGATAGGCAAAATCCCACTAGTTATAGACCAGTAGCTCTACTCCTAGTGGTATCAAAAGTACTGGAAAGTATTATTGATGATCACATCAGGGAATATCTCGACAGGTCTAATATACTCCATGAAGCCCAACACGGTCTCAGGAAAGGCAGATCCTGCGTTACTAACTTATTATCAGCTTGGGACGACTGGACATCATGCTGGGTTATGAATGTTCCTGTTCATGTGATCTTTCTAGACTTTGAGAAGGCATTTGACACTGTTCACCATGAACTTCTCCTACACAAAATAAGCCAGGTAGGTCTAGGTAAACCACTTCTGTCATGGTTGAAGGACTACCTAATTGAAAGGCAATTTTGCACCAAGGTCAATCGAGTCCGATCATCTTGGCACAGCTCGTCATCAGGAGTGTCGCAGGGTTCTATTCTGGGACCACTGATGTCCTTGATTTTTACCAATGACCTACCATGCCGTCTAAGCTGCCCGACTCTTCTATACGCTGATGCCGTGAAGATATGGAGGAAGATAAAGTGTCCGGAGGACTCAGATAGACTGCAGGCAGACCTAAACCTTATGGAAGACTGGGCGGTGGCCAGTGGCATGACTTTTAACCTGAAAAAGTGCAGAGTAGTGAAGTTACGCACCTGTAGACTGCAGAATGCGAGTTACACCCTGTGCAATGAAAGCTTGTCCTGCTCAACGTCGGAACGTGACTAAGGTCTAGTTCTAACGGAGAAAATGGACACAAGCGTAAATTACACGGGGGACGTAGCGAGGGCATATGCGGTCATACACTTTACACATAGACAATTAGGTGCACTCACTCCTGAGCTCTTTCTAAGGTTGTATAAAACATACGTCAGACCGCATCTTGAAGTGCATAATATCATTGCACCCCCACTGCTTAAAAGAGACGCCAACCTCTTGGAAAGAGTCCAACGACGGGCAACAAAAGGAGTGGTTGGTCTCCGAAATAAACCATATGACGAAAGGCTGAAGAAATTAGGCCTATTCACACTCAGTTACCGTCGCCTGAGGGGGGATTTAATTACTGCCTACAAAATAACAAATGATCAGAATCACCCAAACAAAGGTTTCTGCCACTGAGTAGGTATAGGCTCCCTCGTGGAAATCCTAGAAGGATAGCTCATCAGAGGGCAAGGGCCCGGTTGCGCTCCCACTTCTTTTCCCTGCGTGTTTGCCGTCCCTGGAATTCCTTACCGGCAGATGCAGCTGTGGCACCGTCTGTGGACGCCTTTAAGCGAAGGCTGGACAACCATGCAGCGACACAAGGACTGCATCCAAATGGCCTATCCCCTTAAAATCGCACACACTATTCAAAGGTAGACAATTAAACTTGTCGTTTTACTTCTTTACATTCTCTTCCGTCTTACTCCCCTGACAGCTTTAAATACACCTATTATTATTGTCATTATTACTGGTATATATATATATACCGGTTGACTGACTGTTGTTACGTTTTCTTATTCTTATTCTATCTGTTAGTCTGAATACCTTCACTAATTATATCTATTATTATTATCTCTTTTCTATTGACGACGATACCGAAGGACCAACTGGTGAAAGGATCAACTCCATTCATAGTAGTAACAGTCTTAACACACCTCATTCTACAAACCACATATAATTAATCCCTGCACTACTCCTTTTGGAGTCAACCAAAGCTACGGCAGTCGAGTGGCGGGACGAGCTACGCAGACGTTTACTGAAGATCAGGAATCTCTACCTCACAATCAAGAGGCGAGCACAAGAAAATCAAATTGGTTTATACTAGCTCGTAAAAATGATATTGGATATTGGTGTTTTAATACATATCAGCATGATCGAAAACAGGGCGCAATATTCTTTGAAAGCGCTTCTCAGACGGTTTTACTAATGCAAATACTTTAAGGATAGCGGTGTAGCAGTTCAATGGATTTAAAAGCTGGTTTGTTACCTTATAATTTCTCATTGAATAGAGGTGTTTTTCCTCATTGTGAAGCTTTTAGAAAACGAAGGCTGTTCAAGTGCAGCTGAGGTATTCCTTCTTTTCATAACAAAATTCCTTTCCTTTCAGTTGATAAAAAAGTTTATTGACGAGAAAAAAGTAAGTGTTTTTTAATTTCTGACATTTTTGTAGTTGTTACCTGAAAGAATTAACACAGCTGGAGTATCATTCCACAATACATATGACAACTATGTTTGTTCATTTTCAATTTTAATCATCACTGCTTTAGGATAGTCTCCATAGCTTGAGTAGCCCGTCTTTATTGGTAGAATATTATGAGCTTTTGATGAAGCTGGTGCACGATGGCAAAAGTTGCTCATCACATGCGAAAACTTTGATGGGAATTCAAAGTACCTAATTTCTTTATTACTTATTTGTTTCCTTCCAGGTAGGATGAAAAAGTCGTTTCGTGCCAAAAGAACAGGTAACACATCTTAAATACCTGTCTTATGTGTTTTCAGAATTCAGTATAGGCTTGAGAGAATACAACAAGTCAAAGAAATTGTTGTTGAATCACCTACATCGATGCTCGAAGCTTCAGTTTCATATCCTCGCTCATCGTACTGCTATATACTGTTTGGAGTTTGACAAACGTGGCAAATATGTTTTCACGGTAGAGTTAACAGAATTTCTGTTTTATCAGTTGATTGACTTGATTTTGGTGGTGTATGCAGTGAATAAAACAAAAGTAGCTTTTACCGTTTCAGCTTCCAGTGTCATCTTTAAGCCTTATGTAAGCAGTTGTTTTGCCACGGAATGGGATGGATTTTGGGTCACACTTTAGGCAGGGCCTGGACACTATTTAGTTACGTGATGACTTAATATGATTCAACCGGAGTTGCTGCAAAGCTCTGCGAATGAATGCCAGAAAATAAAGATCCTCGGGACTGTGCAGCAAGATTGCTGATGATGTGTGAACATAACTGATGTGACACTAGTTGCGACCTGCATATCAGACATATGGCTGTAATTTAATCATATGAAAAATTTGAAAAGTAGTTTACTCGGTTACAAATGTGAAGTTACTTCTTCAAGTGTCATGAAAGGAATAGTTACCATACAGTTTTCAGGCTCCTACCCTTGTACAAATATGCATTTCAATGGTTCAGTCCTCGGATTGTTGATGTACTTTTCTCCCGGGACGTGTGTGTAGACTCGGACCATGCTGTGGTCCGTGAACGTTTATGCTCACGATTAAACATACATAAAAAGGGCAATGAGGCTCTAACACCCTCAACTCGATCAAGATGCTGAGCGTATCTTAAACTGACAGCCAGGCATCCTGAGGAAGCCTGGTTGTTGATGATCTAAAATTAAAGGTTAGAAAATTCGAGTGGATTTCTGCTACTTCATCTGAACCGATGGACTCAAAAAGAAAACTGATTCTTGTGGGTTTCAAACCTAAAGAGAGAAAGCTGCTCAAACACAAACAGGAAAAAAGGCTTCACAATTAGCGTGAACAATGGTAGGCAACAGAAGGGAACGAAATGGAAAAAGCATCGGCGATAGCTAATACCAAAACAACTATTTAGGCTTAACAAGGAAATATGTAACAAAAGACAAATGATAAATCAGACAATCTCCGACAAAGATATCGCCGTAATTAGCTTTCAAGGTAAACCACTGCAATTATGGATTATAATTATATTTCAGTAGTTTACACACAATGATAAGTTTTTGGTTTTTTGGCAATATTTCGAGCAAAATTACTGCCCTTGATCACACCAACTGTTGGAATTGTTTTGTTTTTAATTCACACATTTATGATTATTTGATCTATTCCACATTGCAGTTATGGAAGCATCATTTTGAGGAAACATCTCAATGGCCTACAGCCATGCTCAAATCTGGCAGTGTCTAACACCTTCCTTAATAGAATGCAAACGTCGGTTCTCTGTCTATTACTTAGATTACAAAGGCTGTCTTTAATTTCAAACATGGCAATCATCAGGACGTGGTGGAATGACTCCACTGGTGTTGAAAGATGATAGTGACAATTTACTGTCTGGGTTAACTAAAGTGTTAGACAATTTCAAAAATAATCCCATTAGACTGGTGTAATTCATTGATTATCCTAATATACAAGAAGGAAGACAAGTCTTCTCGTGATAATCACAGGAGGATTAGCTTGACTAGTATGGTTTCTAAAGTTCTAGGCTCGATTATCATGGGTAGATTAGGTGGTGCTCGGGAAAAACAAACAAGATAAAATCAGGCAGGCTTTAGACCAAAAAGAGGGTGTATTGATAATATAACGTCACCCTTCGGGAGATTCTGGAACATAAGTATACTTACCGGTGACCGACAATTGCCGAATTTCTTGACGTGAAAACGACATTAGATTCCGACAACCGAGAGGTACTGTGGCAATGTTTGGCCGTGATGGGAATGCAGGGAAAATAAGTCACTGATGAAGTCACTCCACTGAAACTCTAAGTGGTATAATAGGGTGAGGAATATTGAGGTTAGGCATCGGTTGTTAGGTGAGGGGAGGAAATCACTCGACGAGGTTGTGAAACAGCTTCATCGATTGTGATAGTTAGGACATGTGTTACGTATGCTGTTATGCCTAGTCATCGCCTTCCTCTACGGGCTATGTTAGCTGACATAGGTTAGATCAGGTTGGAAAAGGGCTAGTTAGTAGTGGTCAAACCAAAACATGGCTTCATCAGTCAGTGAAACCCATAACAGTTATTTTAGGTCAGCCAGCTACTTAGGGTAGTGTAGACTTCCTGCTTGGGGTCTTTAGGATCCTAAGAAGCAATGGTCGAGGCAATTGGTGATATGCCTCAAAATTGTTCTCAAGGGATCTGATGGTATCATTCTCTGTGATCTCCCCCATACATTGAACCCTAATGCTTTTCCATGGTATTCTTTGTTTGTTACATGGAGTGTGGCAACTCTGACTGCTAGACTTCTGTGGAAAGTTCTATGTAGAAACTCAGTTATTAAGTCAGATCTACTTCTTAGTCGCTGAGTTCCAAACTAGGGTCAGACAGCTGTGCAGTACTTTGTCTTTTTAACTGATTCTGTTTGATACCCACTTCATATTGGAAACCATCTCTTTCTATTGATTTACTGTCGCATTTTAATATATTACGTCGATACTATTGTGCAAATAGTTTCATTTTTAAATCGAATATCCTATTCCTGTAGGGTTCTGATGATTACACTATAAAAATCTGGTCTATCAAAGGTTCGAGAAGTGCATCAGCCTGTACTTTACGGCATACTCTTCGAGGTCATGTTGCAGAAATAATTGAGCTTGCCATATCTGCAGATAATCACTTACTAGCCTCAATCGATTCAAATTGTTGTTTAGTCGTATGGTGCTTACAAACTGGTCAACCAGTAGTATCTGTACGCGGTTCACGTAATAACCGCGTGTTATCTGGTCTTGGTTTTCTTACTGTACCAAAAGTGGTGCTTTCTAAAGATGAAGGTAAGAAGTTACCTACTTTGATTCTTATTCCCGAAATTAATTCAACCATATCTGTTTCGTTAATTATATTCTGCTTTATTTTTACCAATAGTGACAGTTGTTCATTTTTTAATGTGTTTGTATTTTCCATTAGGAAGTTACTCACTTTATTCTAACTTTTTATTATATTCGCCATTACATGTGTAGTCGCAGATGTTTTTTTAGTAGCAATATGCGATATCACCCCAGTTCGTCAGAAAGTATGTGGAGAATGCTACATGTTAAGCTGTAAATTTTATCTACTAAATATTGTTATACTCTTGATAGTGTTTTTGAAGGAATAGCAGTGTTTCAGTGTTGAAGAAAGAAATACTTTGCAAACATTGCAGTAGAAGTTTCATAGTTTGTACTTGTGTGTGTATAAAGCTAGTGCTAGCCATGGTTATAGTTACAGATGCTAGACGACGTGATTTGATATCAAATTGCTACCCTAAGAACACCACATTACCTTACTGATAACCTTTGTTGATATTTTATTCTTAGTCGTCGGTAAACCTTTTCATTTTAAAGCATAATCCAGTCCACAATTAGGTGATATTTTGCTTAGCGTAGATAAGAGCATAACTCCGTGCCAGTAATTGCAGAGGCCTAAGTCACCCTTCTTTGGTAGTTTGACAAGGTAGCCTTTCTTCCAATCAATACGTACTTTTCCTTGCCTCCAGACGTTTTTCAATAGTTGCGTAAGGATATCTGCTGCGTTCTCATAGAACTGTTTTCAGTGCTTCAGGAGGGATTTCGTTCAGTCCTGCTGCCCTCCCGGTCTTCAGTAGCTTGATTGCATTCAAGATTTCTGCATTTTCGGAGGACTGGTGTCAGCTGGCAGTTCTCTGCCTGCTAGTGGTGGTATTTCTGGACGAGTTGCGGGAGTCCTTTGATTGGTTTCATTTGTATTGATCTCTTCTCGGACAGAGACCTGGTTATCTTACATAATGTTCTGAGGTCTCTTTTATCTGTGGCCTTTTCTGCTTCATTTGCAAGTATCGTAGAATTGTCTTTTGTCTCTCATAGCACTCTTCTTCACTTCTTTTTTCAATGCGATGTACATTGAACTCAGCTCCTCCTTATGTTGTCCCTCTTTGCATTGGTTCATCAATTTCACCATCTTCGCTTCTATTAGCCTCCAAATATCTGCGGGGAGCTATTCTTTGTCTTGCCTATCTTTCTTCCTAAAACGGCTGTAGGCGCTTCCTTGAACATCACCTTCACAGAGTTCCAGTTTTATCCCATGTAGTTTTCCTTAATAGTGCTACGTACTGTCTCCGACTTTGCTCTGATGGCTGCAGTAAAGGTATCTTTTGTAGTTTCATCTCCCAGTTTCTGAGTGTTAAACTTGAATTGTGGTCTGTTTCCAATTGCTTTGAAGGCTTTCAGCTTGACATTGAAGGTTCGTTGAACTAGGTGATGGTCTGAGCTGACATCTGCTTCCCTTCTAGACCTAGTGTCTAGCATACTGTCTCCACTTTCTTGAGCAACATTGAGATGAAGTTTGTTTAGTTTTCGGTGTGTCCGTCAGGTGAAATCCATTTCGCTCTACGTATATCCTTGTGCTTGTGCACGCTGCCTCCAATCACTAAATCATTGAAGGCGTAGAAGTCTGCGAAGAGTTCTCCATTCTCATTCATTTCTCTGAGAGCTTGTCGGCCCATAATGAATTCTTTTCACACATTGTCTGCTCCCAATTCGGTTTGCATTCATATCGCCTATAGAGGTTTTGATGTTGTCATTTGAGATGTTGTCCATTAATGTTTGTAGTTGTCTACAGAAATCTTCCCTCTTCTCTTGTTCCGCGTTGTTTGTAGCACTGTGCGTAGCATTGGATAATTGTAAGCTTCCTTCCTTTTGAGTCGAATGTTGCTGTCATCATTATGGAAGAGATTGGTTCCCATTACATAATAGCCTTGGATACTGTTGATGACATCATGATAGCCTCTTCTTCAGTGTGCTCGTGTTTTTCGCCTGGATGACTGGAGTAGATTTTTCACTCTCCAGTTAACAGTTTGGAGAGTCCAGTTCCATTCCGCTTACTGTCACAAATTTCTAGCACTCCTATACCGTATCTCCTATCTCCTTATTTCTTTGGCAACCTGACCATCTTTCTTAGCTTCATGCATTGTACGAGCATTCCAAGTCCCAGTGTTTATTTTTGCTTTCATCGAAAGAGGACACATCAGCTGACTGGCCTCCCTGGGTTTCACCAGTTCACATCATTCTGTCTCTCCAATTCCAGCAAAGAATAAGTTTCCTTCTTGTAATTTAGTTGTGTTTTGAAGTGTTCATAGCGATTGGATTGATTTTCCGGGGTAGAGTAGTTAACCCCACGCCCAACCTTCCATCTTTCCCCGTTCTTAAACTATGGGAATGTAGACTACCGAACTAATAAACTGGATGAGGTTAAGACTGAAATTAACTACTGTTTCAATAAGAATGTTTCATTTTGATTGGAATGTTAGGGTGAAATAAGATATGGCGTTTTTGTAGGTGCTTTTACCGCTTCGCTTATTATGGAAGTTAACCATCGAACCTGAATGCAAAAATCCTTGTAATATTTATAAAACTAGCACCATGTTTGGTGTAGTGTGGATGTCATGCATGAAACTACCTATCGAGGGGCAAGTGTTATCAGCTCAGTCTTTCGTTCTGTTCGCTTTGTGAAGAGATGACACGTGGTCGTTAAAGTGTGGGAGACTTCAATGTAATACAATTTTTAATCATATTTACACTTACATGCCAGATAAGACGTATCAATACAGCACTGTGATGTTAGAGTTAATTAAGGAAGACTGGCCAATTCATGTGGTTATAAATCTCTTTCAATTGAGGTGGTCGTTGCACGTTGCTCATAGTCTTCTTAAGAAAGACGTCAGCTGATGTAAGAATAAATTGACAGTAGGTTTTGGTTATCCAAATGAACCTGTGGTATCAATTCATAAAGTATAACGTTACTCAGTATTCATATATTTTGTTTCCTATCATCCATATTTGTCCAAGATAGTTTTTATTTCTTTCTTTCTTTCTGTTGTTGTAATTGACATTGTGGCATTTAAAATGAAGTACTTCTTACAGGACAAATACTAGCCGATGCCATTGGCGGGTGCTAGTCGCGCTATACGGTGAATTGGCAGAAGTTGGAATTCATGGTCAGGCTATTGGATGGGGTCCCAGTGGCTTAGTGCTCTACGAGCTCTCCTTGTAGCCGAAAGGTCCTGGGGTCCGAACCCTGGAGTAGCAGTGTGTACGTATTGATGACGATAGGAACAGCTGTCCAGTACTCCATGATTGGTTTTTCCAATGGTTCTCTAATCGATATCAGCTCATGATGAAATCCTATAACCAGTCGAATCGGTGCAAACCATCACCTGAGGTACTTCTCTTTAGGATTCTCTGTTTAAAAGGTATGGTCGGTGTAGCCTTACTAGTAGTCGTCATATGTACAGTACGGTACAGTACAGTTTACAGTCCTAATTATGATTGTTTTGTCCAATTCTTGTTGTTGTTGTTATCGTTGAATGAATGCACTGTTTTGATTCAAAATTATATGTATTGCCAGCTTTGATTTAGGAAGCTTTCAGTGTCTGAATGGTATCTTGTTAACTAGCCGCTGAAGTCACAGTATGTGTGTATTCTCTTCGTATATGTTTATAAATTCACTCTATCCAATGTGGTAGTTCAGTGGTAGAACACTGGCCAACTAAGTGTGTGGTCCGGCGTTCGACCCCCGGCTGATGCACTCCTAGACCTCATTAAGCTGGTTAGTAAGGTAGGTAAAGAGGGAAGGTTTGGCGCATGACTGGTATCCCCACCGCGTTAAAGTAAAACCATTGCTGCCGAAACTTCAAAGCTGAAGCTTGAAGCCCTATGTTTCACTCGGAACGTGATGGAATAAAAGCAAATGTGGTAAAATAGGATAAATCATAATTAGTTTTCAGATAGCCCTCAGGCAAAGGCGCAAGACTTTTCATTGATTGTATTCATTGTTGTATTCAATTCAACAGTTTTGTCGTCACTTTATTACTTTATTCCTTTTTTTATAGTTTTATCTGATTCCGGTGAGCGTAAGCATCCTTCTGGTATGCTTATAGTATCATCGTTTGGTGGCTTTCTGCACATAATACCATATATTCACACTGTTCGCTGTAATTATCATTATCGTCATTATCATGCTGCTGACGAGTTTGGTAGCGCAACGAACGGTACTGAAAACAGATGGATATGTTGTACTGTTGAATTACTTCCAGCAATTCGTTTCACAACAGCTTCTGAAGGTACCCCAAATGTATTTTGGCCATCCATTGCGTGTATTGACATTAGTCCCGGTAAGCTCTTTTTGTGATAAAAATAATATCTTTTTCCGTATACACACTTGGTATTTCCAGAGAGGAAATCGGCTAGTCTGTTTTTTGAGATAATCGGTCTAAGTGTGTTATGAGCATTTCGATACTTAACTTTCAAGTGAAACGTTGTTATCTTCACATGAAACAACCCATTGAATGACTGTGACTGCGTTTTGTATGTGTAAACAAACTTACACTATGACGATGGCTGCGCTTGGTCTAATTGCTGTCCAATGAACCTTACCGGCATTGTATGACCTTCAGGAACTAATGTTGGTTACAGCCAGTTTAGCTCATTGCGATGTGCAAGCACGAGAGAGTTGCATTTAACTCAGACTCATTGGATTACTTCGTAGGTTCGTCACCTTGGTAGGTGGTTTCTCCTCATGGAAGGTTTTAAAAGATCCCACACTCCACCAGCTTGACATTTCGTGTCTGTTTTCTACAGGTCAATTTGAATCATGTGTGTGATCGTGGAAAAGGGGGTAAGGGAGAAGAAGCTAAACGCCGTCTCAAAGTCCTCCGTGTTAACATCTAACGTATCACAAAGCCAGCTATCCCTTGTCTCGTCCGTCGTGGTGGTGGTAGTGTGAAACTCATCTTTGGCGTGATTTATGAATAGATTCGTGGTGTTTTCAAAGTGTTCTTGGAGAGTGGTATCTGTTACGCTGTGACATACACTGAGAATGTGGAGAGGAGAACTGTCATCTCTTTGGACGTTGTCTATGCTTTAAAATGCCTTGCTCGTACTGATTCGGGTTTTGTTGGTCACTTTTCCCACAGTTATTCAACTGAGAGATTACTTTTGAGACTAGTGAGTAGTTTGGGCACGACGAGAAAGTAACTAGGCTGGAACTATACTCTGCCAAAGTGTCCAAGTTCTATTCTTATATATCCGAGACCTAAGTGTTATTGAAATTATTTCCATGAGTATAAATCAGACAAAGTCCAGTTGCTGTAACTGAACTAAATTCTCTCTAAAGTTAAATGTATTGTTCGCATACGGCCTGCTTATCAAATCAAATGTGCTCCTCTTTGATATATTTTTTTTAAAATTTCTTTTGCTACTACTCTAGGTGGACTTTTAGTGGCAGCTGGTTGTTCAGATCAGAATATCCGTTTGTATCAATTCACGAATCCATTGAAACCAGAACCAGCTGGTATACTGGCTGCTCATGAGGTAAGTTCAATGTACTAATTGCTGAGAGAGAGTGTGTGTGAAAAAGAAGCCACACTACTGGTTGATGTGAGTGGTATCCAACTCACTACTCATAGGAATCAATCAGTAGTATATATTTTTACGCAAAAATATAGTTCACTTTCTTGATTACCGAATGGGGTATGAAGTAGGTTACATAGATTGTGATCTGAATTGATATGGTCTCTAAAGGGAACTGGGGTAAAACTTTCACCCTTTCGAACCGTGTGCATTTCAAAGTGGCTACACTAATTAGCAAATTGTTATTGCCATGATCTGCACAATAGACTAACTTACATTAATGGATCTTGGATATTAGCATTTCTATTTCAGTCTATCTGCTGAGGTTTATAACAAATCAAATTTTTATCATGAGATATCCAACAATAATTGTCGTTAATCGATAGATATGTGTAGTCTCACTGGGGATCGCGTAGTTACTGTGACACAAGCGCAGGGTGATGGACTAATAAACTGGTTGCATTCTTACTTTTCTGACAGAAAGTAGTGCATTGTTTGCAATTGGAAGTCTTTTACTGCTTCACTTACTCTAGCTGGTGCTCCACAAGGTGATGTTCTTTCTCTTTTTCTCTTATCTTTCTTCTTAAATAACTTGCTGCATTCTGTCGATGGCAATTTTTTGCAGTGTGCTGATGATCTGACTGCTTCTATGCGTGTTACTTCTCCATCAGACTGTTTCGAATGAATAAATTTTCTTTTATGAGAAATTAGTCAGTAGTCCCTCCAAATGTCAGGTGGTTAATTTCACTCTCAGACTCAAGTGCTTTCGCATGTGCGTTGGTGGCACAGTGTTGGTTAGGACTCTCGCCGACCATGCACATGGTCCGGGGTTTGATCCCCTGCCGACGCACACCCGATATCTATGGTCGGCCTGCAAAATTTGGGCTACCGATATCCATGCTGAAAATTCCATACTTGTACTAAAAATACGGTGTGGCATCAAGGTGTAATCAACATAAAATAAAATAAAAATACGTGGCACTGAAGTCGAAACTGAGTCGAATGTTAAATACCGTTCCTGGTCTACCCACATCATGCTAGTTTCCAGAAATATATTTCGTTTGACGTTGCATGTTAGGAAGTTGAAATGATCTGGTATCACACAGTCTTTACTTTCACAGTGTTAATTTTTGTATTCTACAGATGTGAAAAGGCTAGCTGTCTGCGTTCTTTCTCCTGTGTCAGGTAGTATAATAGGGGAAGTAATATTGAGGTGAGGCATCGGTCGACTGCTAGATAAGTGGGGGGGGGGGGGGGAATCAACCGACGAGGTTGTGAAACAACCGCATCGATTTCGATGGTTAGGACATGTGTTACGTATGCTGTATGCCTAGTCATCGCCTTCCTCGACGGGTAATGTTAGCTGACATAGGTTAGATCAGGTTGGAAAAGGGCTAGTTAGAGGTGGTCAAACCAAAACATGGCTTCATCAGTCAATCAAATCCACAATAGTTTTCAACAACATATGAAAGTCATGGTGTAGACACGTGGTGGTGTGGTTTATATGGGCATTATAGCACGTAACCTCCAGTTAGCAGGTTCTTCTACGTTTGAAATAGCTGTCCAGTACTCTGCGGGTTTTGTTTACAATGGTTCTCTAACTCCTAGCAATCCGTGGGTAAACTTGAAACTAGAATGGTATTTTATCCAAGACCTATTACATTGAATTTGGTTCTTAAGGTAGAATATCATATAACTGAATGGTAGTTATCAGGTAGAACATCAAGTGATGAGTAAGCTTTCAACAAAACTCAAGACTATGCAGTTGGATAAGATGAAATGTGTGAAGGCTTTTGAACGAGTTACTGACATATTTTATCATACAGAAAAAGAAACTGACTGTGACTGTCATCTACACAGATTGAGTATCTGTCTTGATTTCATTTTGGGTGGAAGCGGTCATTAGTGGTTTTTGGAGTCGTCGAGCCAGGTAGAAAAAACGGCAGTGAAAGATGTTCTGCTGTGAAGCCCTATGTCCCACTCGGGACCCAAGAGACGAATAATAATCATGATGATGATAATAATATGGTCTTTTGAATGCGAATGGATATTTATTGCAATGGAGTTTTTCCTCCTCATCTTGATGTTAGAAGCTAATGCATGTATCAGTGATCTGTATATTCGAAGAAACCAAATTCAAGAGGTTTCAATTGGTATTTATGTCCTGTGTGGTTCCCAGTGTACACTTTAGAACGAAGCAAAGTAAACCTTTGATTGCAAACTTTTCTTTATTAAAACGTCTCTTCGTTTCTAGGACTTTGTGTAACTAAATTATCCGACTGAACTGATAAAATCGTATGGGTGGAGGTCAGGCTCGTCAGTCTGTACATTTAAGACAAGGATAGTTAGTGGTCACTGAAGTCGACGAAGTACAAGAGTTTGATGATATTAGATGGTTGGAGGCAGTCGGCCAGGAAGCCTTGGACCTAGGTTTCGTGCTAGTTGGTACTCACAAGTCAGCAAGGCGTATCTGCAACCTTGAAGGAGCTCATATCCCTTCTTCTGGGATTCGAACCCGCGTCACCCAGTGCTGCAGTCAGAGACGTTACCACTGAGCTATTCGGGCTCGCGATTGGCCTCCTGTAGGACTGTAGTGGGTAGACACGTCACACTAGTTACTAGTGTCCAATCAAAATACTCACTACAGTCCTACAGGAGGTCAATCGCGAGCCCGAATAGCTCAGTGTTAACGTCTCTGACTGCAGCACTGGGTGACGCGGGTTCGAATCTCAGAAGGGACATGAGTTTCTTCAACCTGGTTGCAGATACGCCTTGCTGATGAGTGGCAACTAGCACGAAACCTAGGTCCAAGGCTTCCTGCCGATTGCCTCCAACCATCTAATATCAAAAATTCACAGTGCACCGTGATGGCAAGCCACCTAGAATGGTGGCCACATTGTAAACCTGACTGATAGAATTCAATCTGCACCAAAGAAAGCACTAGACACGTCACACCAGTTACTAGTGTCCAATCGAAGTACAAGAATATAATAAATGTCCACAACTGAAAGATGTTTTGTCTAAACTGAAATGCAAATTGTTTTGAAGTTCTGCCTTACACTTTTATTTCAGTTTCCTTCATCAGAAGGGTTCTGAGTGAGACATAGGGCTTCAACGGCACATCTCCATTTTGTCTTATTTCCTGCAGTCCTCTTCAACTGGCCCCAAAATCTCCCATATTCTCTGATCTCTTCCTCGCATGATCCCCATGTCAGCTTCGGATCAATGTTGAACTTGTTGTTTCCCATTCGGGTTGCACCCTAGCGATTGTCTGGCTGGTGCGTGATGTCACTCCACGATCTCCTCAGCGTGTGTCTGGTCCATTTCCATTTTCTTCTATGTAAATTTTGAGGAATAAGTTCTTAGTTGGTTTATTACCATAGTTTCTTGTTGTTAATTCTTTCTGCCCGCTTATATTTGATCTTCAATGTAGAGCCAGAGAAAGTGGCAGCTGTTGATAAAAGTCTGCAACCTTTTGGAAAGGCTTTTACTGACGCGCTGATCAAGTCTTTGATCCATATAGAAGCAGTGACTGATTCAACATTGTTGCTGAAGATCGAAATCTTGTTCTTGATACTGAGTGAATATGGAGGACAATTCGAAACTGATTTCATACTGATGAAGGGTATGCTAGTAAGCCTACGTTCTATCTCCCGTGTGAAGTGGTATAATAGGATGAGCAATATTGGGATTAGGCATCGGCCGAGTGTTAGGTAAGGAGTGGAAATCAACCGAAAAGGCTATGAAGTTACATTGGTTGAGATGATTAAGATATGTGTTACGCATACCTGAATAGCTACCGCCTTCCTCGACGGGCAATGTAAGCTGAATGACATAGGATCAGGTTGGAAAAAGGCTAGTTAGTGGTGGCCAAACCAAAACATGGCCTCATCAGTCAATGAAATCCACAACAGTTCGTTTAAGCCAGCCACTTCAGGAGATGTAGACTTCTTGACTGACTGGTTGGGGTCTTCGGGAAGGTGAAAACAGTGTAGGCTGGAGACACTCGATGATATGGCTGAAAATCATTATTGTCAATGGCTGGTGCAGATGCATTCACTCCTTGTGATTTATAATATCCAATAAAACTATATGATTCTTCGATATTTCTATTCTTTTTGCCTCATATGTCTGTTTATTATCTCTCTTTCTTTTAAATCTCTGTCCACTCTCTTCTCTTGGTTTGTGTGCTACATGGAAGCAGGGTGAGTGGCCACTTGAGCTGCTGCACATCGGTGCAAAGTTCTATGTCGAAACCAGTCAGTCAGTCATTGATTAATTAACCGAATTTTTAATATATGTGTAAAACTTGGGCACTGTGGTAGTAAGTAATTCCATATTACTTTGTTTATTAGATATATCACACAGTGAAACAGTATTATTTACTGGATGACGTTTCGAACAAAATTTATTGTTCATAATCATATCAATTGTGATCACACGACTTTGACATGGGATCACCAATATCCCCAGTGGTAGCAGATACATTCATGGATAAGTGGGAAAGCATAGCGATTGAAACGTTCACCCCCACCCACTCCAAAAGTATGGTGGAGGTACGTAGATGACACATTCACTGTACTGAGAACACAATATATAGATAGGTTTTTCGAATACATCAACTCGAAGGTTGAAGCAATTCAATTCACTTATGAATTGGAAAATCAGGAAGGGGAGCTCCCAATGTTAGATTGCAACGTAAAGAGGAAAGAAGATGGGAAGGTAAACACTAGTGTTTACCGGAAACCCACACATTCAAACAGATATTTGGACTTCCGATCATCCCATCGTATGTCAGTAAAAATAGGATTGGTGAAATGTTTAAATGACAGAGCACAAAAATTAAGTAGTACCAAGGAAAATCTAAAACAGGAACTGATACACATAAAAGAAGCCTTGAAACTTAATAATTACCCGGATAAATTAGTCAGGAAATATGTAGGGAAATGTAAAAATAAAATAAATAATGATACTAGCGATAGTGATAATAACAATAATAATGATAATGATAATAGTAATATTAATAATAATATTAATGACAACACCAACAATAAGGAATCTAAATCATCAGTAGTAATTCCATACAAGGAAGGAACCTCGGAAGCCTTACGCAGAATTCTTAACAAGGCAGGAATAAAAACGGCTGGCATTCAAACCCACAAACTCAATTAGAAACAAGCTTTGTCGGTTAAAGGATCCTGTAGAGCCTTTAAAACAAAACAATTTAGTTTATCTAATACCCTGCCTGCAATGATTGTCAGGTCAAATACATAGATCAAACTAGTAGAACAGGGGCAGTCAGACTAGCTGAACATAAAAACTTAGCAAAATCTAGATTGGTTGACCCGAATAAAATAAGAAATCTAGAGAATAGTTCAGCTATAGCACTACATGCAGTCACACACAACCATACAATAGGATGGGATAGGATGACAGTTTTAAAATCTAATGTCACAGGGTATAGGGAGAGATTGATAACAGAAGCTTTGTTTATCGAATCAACTACAAATACATGTAATAGGAATGATTCATCACCTGTCCCAGATATCTGGAAAATTCTACTACCCATACGACAAATAGGAGAGAACAAAGAAAGCTATAAAACTCAAGTGTCAAAGTCGTGTGATCACAATTGATATGATTATGAACAATAAATTTTGTTCGAAACGTCATCCAGTAAATAATACTGTTTCACTGTGTGATATACCTAATAAACAAACTAATATGGAACCGGAATTTTTCTCAACTTATTATGAATCTGTAATAACAGTCGACAGTCGGTCATTATTGTCTAACTTATCTCATTTATTTTCTTATTTCATTATATAATCTTTGTTGTAGGAAAGTGTCAACAGTGTAGCATTTAGTCATTGTGGACTAAAATTAGCTACTGGCAGTTCAGTTGGTGCAAGTTGTTGCTTATGGAGACTTCAAGCTGGTCAATGGAGAAGTATGAAGTTACAATTTGGTAAAAGGTTAGTGATGTGTGTATATCCTTTCACATGAAGGCTTTTTTCATTTTTTTTTTCATTTCCGGGTTACTGCCTTATATAATTGACATTTCTGACTGGTAAATGGTAATGTGGCGTGTACTACTGACAAAATTTATAAGTAGTATATAGATTCAGGTATAATTATGTATATCAGCTGCAAGAATATCAAATAGCAGAGAGATGGAATTAGTGAAAGATTCTTGTTTAAAGCAACATGGAAAACTTGAGAGGAAAACAAAGAAGCACAAGCGAATTGTGATTCAAAAGTGTCATTGTTGTTCCCCTGGATTCCGAGTGGAACACGTAGGGCTTCAACAACACATCTCCGCTTTGTCCGATTCTCTGCGGTCTTCCACAGCTAAAGCCACGATTACCCATGGGCTGTCATCTCCTCCATTTTAGCATTGGACTAACGCCCAACTCGTCCTTTCTCATTCGGATGGCCTGACGTGCGATGTCACCCGACGTATCCGATCCATCCCTACTTTCCTCGACATACTTTTCGATTGATTGGGTTCATCCGCAGAGTTTCTTGTTGCTCGTTGTTTATGGTCGGCCATTTGGTCTTCACTATGGAGTAAGTGTGAAGACAGTTATTGATAAAAGTCTCCAGTGGTGGTAGTCTGTAAGAAATGCTTATGGTGACACGCGTCCTAAGTTTCTGACGTATATAGAAGAACCAACCGACTGACTTAACATTGGTGTGTTTATATGTTGTACAGTAGTGGTAAAAGCTTCTGGTAGACAAACTTTTAAGCAGGCCGCCAAGTATTCTTGTTGTTAACTATGGTGGTTTATTTAAAACAGACACCTATACATTCATACTCACATTTTTTAAACCAGAATAGTCATAAACAAAAATGCAGGTACATCCAGATGACGACTTCCAAAATAGGACGAAATGCGCATCCTGAATTCTGTTGCTAGTCACCCACCATCCATCAATTGAAAACAAACTTATTTTGAATTATTATTATTTTTTAGAGTGAAATGTCGTCCGTGTTTATTAGTCTGGTCTATACACGATCAATATTTAATCGCTTCCATGAAGAATGGATCTGTTTACATCTATTTTGGACATAGTGGACAATTGGTCACAGTGATTGATGTAAGCGAAAAACGTGTGTTGTGATTTGTTTTCTTTCATGTGCCATATTTAGCATATTATTTACAGCTTCTCTCGCTCTCTTTCCCTCAGGGTATATTTGTATTTTACGAGTTGATCACGGATTGATATCAGTTAGAGAATCATTGAAAACCGCCAGGGAGTACTGGACAGCTATTGCATCCCAGTTTGGGAAACATTAGCAGTACGCATCCACCACCATAGTTCGAACCCAGGACCTTCCGGTTGCAAGTCAAGCTAGCTCGTATACCATTCAGCCACAGGGACCCGACTCCTCAATGGCCAGCCAGCCCATGAATTCTAACTTTTACTGCCGACGGTTCCCAGACTAGTTGGATGAAACAGCTGTCCAGTACTCCCTACCTGTTTTCAATGGTTTCCTAACTGATATCAATCCGTGATCAACTCGTAAAAACAAAACTAATCCTTACAAACCAACTATTGAAAAGTATATTTGTAAATTTTACGCCATTTTGTGGTTTAGTAAGTGTGAAATCCGTCTATGTTATGCAGTAATGTTTACTGATGACGTTTCGGGCACAGATTATTGCTCATAATCATATCAAGGCATTCACACAATTTTATTGCTTCATTTATATACATGAGTGAAAATTGATTATGAGCAATAATTTGTGCTCAAAACGTCATCAATAAATATTACTGTACAACACTGTGTGATTTTATCCGTAATGGAGTTATACGCTACCACAGTGCCTAAGACTTATCCTTATATCAATCAGTGAAGTTTGGCCGGCTATCGATCAAAGGACGTATGTACTGCACAGCACCGATTCGCTCCGTCCTCCTTTATAGCTGTCAGTGGGACATGGTCATTGAAAATGAAAGACATGGAAAGACGAACTAGCTATCTTTGATCATAGGTGTCTGCATCCTATCTCCCACGTTAGGGTGAGTAATATATTGAGGTGAGGCATCCGTCGAGTGCTAGGTAAGGCGGATTAATCAGTCGATGAGGTTGTGAATCTACAACGATTGATATGGTTATGACATGTGTTATATTTGCTGTATGTCTAGTCATCGCCTTATTCGACCCACGGTGTTGGCTGACAGAGTAGGATCCGATTGGAAAAAAGTTCATGGTGGTCAAACCAAAACATGGCTTCATCAGTCAATGAAATCTATAACAGTTAGTTTAGGCCAGCGAGCCAGCCACTTAGGAAGAGGTGTAGATTTCCTCACTGACGACTGGTTAGAGTCCTCGGGATTCCAAGAACCAGTGACTGTAGACAAATGGTGACGTGGTTGAAAATCGTTGTCAATTGCTGATGGAGAGGTATTCACTCTTTGTGATTTGTCATACATAATAAAACTATTCTTCTTCTTCCATATTAGTACTATTCTTTTCGCCTCACTCACACTTGTGTTTATTGTCTCTCTTTTGTTGAATCTCTCATTACTCTCTCTCTTCTCTTGCTTTATGTCCTCGAACTGGTACCTACCTGTGCAGAGTAGTTCTATGTTGAAACGAGTCTGTCAATCAGTCAATGCAGAGTCTTCTGAACACCTTGAGCAGCAATCTTCGTATGTTTGGCATGCGATTAACCCCTGTAAAATGTAAGATGCTGCTACAGGACTGGGCTACGTCAACTCCTAGCTTAGTGATAGAACATGTTGACCATTTCACCTATTTGGGAAGTTGTATCAGCACCAACGGATTGATTGGTGACGAAATCTCATCACGGATCCAAAAAGTTCGGGCTGCTTTCGCTAACTTACACCGTCTCTGGCGTAGGCGTGACATTCGGCTATCAACCAAGGGACGTGTGTACTGCTCAGCAGTTCGCTCTGTCCTTCTCTATGGTGGTGAGACGTGGCCATTGAGAGCGGAAGACATGAAGAGATTGTCTGTTTTTGACCACAGATGTTTACGATCTCTCTCTCGCGTTAGGTGGTTTAATAAGGTAAGTAATGTTGACGTTAGGCGTAGAGTGTTGGGCAAAGAGGGAAAATCAATCGAAGAGGCTATAAAGTTACATAGATTGAGATGGCTAGGTCATGTGCTGCGCATGCATAACCATCGCCTCCCCCTCCCGACGGGCATTACTAGCTGATTTAGGTGCAGGTTGGAAAAAAGTAAGTGGTGGCCAAACAAAAACATGCCATCAATCAATCCATGAAATCCTTGACAGTTAAACTGAGTCAGGTAGGGAGGGAGATGCAGACTTCCGGGTTGGGGCCCGCCCTCGGGACTCTAAGAATCAATGGTTGGAGACAATAGGTGACATGGCTCAAAATCGTTTTCAGTGGCGCAGATGTATTCAGTCTCTGTAATCTTTCATATTCCTTTCTACCATTACTCATTCTGTTTCACTCTTATACTTGTCAAACTCTATTGATTCTCTTCACTCATTTTCTTGTCTACCTTTGTGTGGTATTTGGAACGTGGCAACTGGAACTGCTGCACTTCGTTGCCAAGTTCTATGTTGAATCCAGCTAGCCAGCCAGTCAGTCAGCCAGGGATATTTGTATATTTTAGCAGGTTTTCATCACAAGATAAATAAATTTGTGAGAATTTTAAGGTAGTATTTGTCATCTGAAATTAGTTTCTCATAAGAAATATTTATTTCACCATAACAAAGAATTTAAAATAAGCAACCAAAAGTTAATAATTTAATAATTTAAGGAGTTAATGAATTCATCAAATTTCAGTAGAGAACTCTTCAGTTGCTTTCACAAACACACTCGAGTTGGCATACACAGGTTGAAGCGTTGAATAGATTGCCCACCGGATTGTTGATGCACCCGCTGAAGAGTCCTACTGAAATTTGATGAATTCATTAAATCTCTGCTTTATGTTAGGCTTTGTTACTTGTTTCAACATTTTTCATGAGTTGTCTATTTCATCTAAATTCTAAAGTTTTCTGGATGTTTGTGTATATATCCAGAGTGTGAAGAGATAGTTGACCCCCTTGTGTCGTTTTGTTTACGTAACTACACATCTATAATCTTCTGTGTTATAGTGCTTAACTGACTGCTGCTTCTTGGGCACTGTTCCAATCTTCTGAGGTGTATGTCGTGTTAGTACTTTATCTGTTACCTGCTGCACACTGTCGTACGCTGCCTTTTCCTGACCTTTCAGCAGCCTCCCTAGCACAACTACCTTCGCCGTCGGATCCTTGATGCCCACCAACTTACTCAATGAGAGGATCTAAGTCCCCACAGGGATCTCACTATGTCTCCTTTTTCAAAAGCGGTGGGCCATGGAACCTTCACTGTCTGGAGGTAGTGACACTAAATATAACGGGAGAAGGCAAGAGAGTTGATAACGGACTTTCTTACTGAAGAAAATCACGTTATATATTTTTTATACATTTTTAGCCATAGTTACGGTTAGCTAGGTCAAGGGATAGTGAACTGTTCTGATAGGTTGCTAATGCTCTGAAGATTAAACCCTGGCCACAACGTAAGCAGCTTGATCCAGATTTGAGAAATAAACTCTTCCTCTTACTTATGTAGCCACTGACTTAAAATGTTTGCAGTTGTGGCTACCTTCTATCAATTTGCATCTGTATTTTTTTAATTCTTTTACCTTCCCAGTGGAACGTAGGACTTCAAGCTAGAGACTTGAAGTTTCAGTAGCAGTGGTATTTATTTTTACAGGATGGGGTTGCTAACCTCCTGCCCACCCAACCTTGCCTCTTTACCAGTCTTATTACTGACTTAGGGAGGTAAAGAAGCGTGTCTGCTGGGGATTGAACCCCGAACCACATGCGTGGTTGGCGAGCATTCTACCGCTGTGCCACCGACGCATCTGCTTCTGTATACTAATGACAATTCTTGTCAGTGGCACACGCCACACTTGGATTTCATTATTCTCCGGAAATGGAACCAATATTAAGGTGGCGTGTAGGTAAACGAATGTGAAATGTAACTTATTGGCTTAATCATTCGTCTGTCCAGCTCAATCGACTTCAGTGCGGGCAACTGAGTAGTATCATTAGTCTTCACACAATAGTTGTATTATGTCTTGTAGTCGGCTGCATTAAAGACATCATTGATATTTTTGTTACTTTGGGTTCCGAGTGAACACACAGGACTTCAATGGCACATCCCCACTTTGTCCTGTTCTCTGCGGTCCTCCATAGCTCGCCCTACAGTTGTCAGTGTGCTCTCATCTCCTCCCAGCATGATCTCCTCCATGTTGTCCTCGGATGATGTCGTTTCCCATTTGGGTTCCACTCGAGGACCTCGCGGGCAGTACCATTTGATAGTCTTCTTAGAGTGTGTCCGATCTACCTCCGTTTTCTTCGACATGTTTATTGATTGGCTCGTTCTCAGAGTTTTTAGTTGCTAATTCCTTATGGCAAGATACCTATTCTTCACTATAGAGCGAAGGCAATTGTTGATAAATGTATGAAGCCGGTTAGGAATACCTGTGGTGATGCCCGCGCCATATCTGTGACTCATATAGAAGAATTGACAGACTTCACATTAATGTTGAAACTCCGAATTTTGTTCTTTGTGCTCAGTGCAGCTTATTTCCAAACCGACTTCAGAGTGATAAATATCTGTCTTACCTTTCCGATTCTGTTGCCACTATCCTTATAAACGTGTCTTCTGTAGTCGAAACGATGCCTCTGAGATAAATGAAGGAAGTAACCTTTTTCATGTATATCCCGTTGACAAGGATTAGTTATCTTCATTACCTCTGTTTCCTCTATGTTTACTTGAAGTCCTATCTTCACCGCCCACATCTTCCAACTTGTTGGTTTTCGCCTGTAAGTTTTCGAGTTTCTATGACATTGGACATAAGTCATCCGCGAAATCCAGATCTTCTAGAGTCTTCTCAACGGCCCAGCGTAGCTCTGTCTTCCTCCTTACAGTATTCCACATAATCCAGTCCACCACAGTTAGTAATATCATCGTGGGTTATATATAGCAGGCATGCTTCTCGTACTCCTTTCTTCAGTACAAAGGAAACACTGAGGTTTTCCTTCTGGAATCACCTTAAACCCCCCACCATTATCATATAACTGTTGAATAAGGTTGATTTGCTTAATTGATTTCGAATAAAATGGTTTATTTCGATATGGATTTTGGAGAGTGTATTATTCGTTAACCTTAATAACAGTTATGTATTTGCCGAAATCCACCTATTCTATGTCATAATTTCGGTTACTATTCTGTCTGTCTGTCTGTTTCCGACATAGAACTTTGCACACATGTGCGGCAGTTCAAGTCGCCACACTCCATGTAGCACACAAAGCAGGAGAAGAAAGGAGAAATGCATATTAGAGACAGTAAACAGAGGTGTGAGACAAAGGAATAGTAATAACGAGGAACAATATAGTTTCATTGGAAATCATAAATCACAAGGAGTGGATTCATCTGCGCCAGCCATTGAGAACGATTTTGAGCCATATCGCCGATTGTCTCCAGCCTTCATTAGTGTTTACCGTCCCGAGGACCCCAACCAGGAAGTCTACACCCTCCTACGTGGCCTAGACTAACTGTTGTAGATTTCATTGGCAGGTGCCATGTTTTCGTTTGACCGCCGCTAGCTCTTTTCCAGCCTGGCCCTATATCAGCTAACATTGCCCACTGTCGAGGAAGGCGATGATTAGGCATACGTAGCACATGTCCTAACCATCTCAGTCGATGTAATTTCACAGTTTCGTCGATTGATTTCCCCGCCTTACCTAGCACTCGATGCCTAACCTCAATATTGCTCACCTTATAATACCACTATAATTCAGTCATGCTTGACGTGACATACTTGACAGTTTCACATCAAAATATAAAATGTTTATATTTATCGCCAGCATATCTGTGTCTACACGATCTGCCTGCACATCGTTGGCCCAGCGGTTAGAACGCTCGCCCACCATGCACATTGTCCGGGGTTCGATCACCAGCCGACGCACACATGATATCAATGGTCGGCCTGCTAAATTTGAGCTACCGATATCATATGCTGAAAATTCCATACTTGTACCGAAATACTCTGTGGAATCAAGCTATAATAAAAAATATTTTAAAAAAATGTAATCCAACAGTTTGTGATGATTTGCAAATCCAGTTAATTTACTCAGCGCACATCTACCTTTGCCAGACTTGGCGTTGTCCATAGGTACATTAGTCAGCCAACTGGTTGATAATTGCCAGATTCATCCTCTTATCTTGTCACTTTCTGTGTAAATGAAGCCGTTGGTTCCTATGACCCTTGCAAAATTGATGATACTGATATAGAAACCAAGTCTGAAGTTAAGTATCTTGGTTTAATTCTGTCTTCTGACCTATCCTGGTCCTCTCATGTCTTAGCGATTTCTAAAAGAATATTTCGTCTTACTTTTTACATTAAGAAGTTAAGGCACTCAGGCATAACTCAACCATCCTCTTCTCTTACACTTTGTCAACTCGTGTATTTTACCTATTCTTCTTAAATGTTCACCCTTATTCTTTCCTGGATTGCTTAAAAAGGACTTTGTCATACTTCGTAGAACTCTAAAGACTGTCAGTAGGATGAGTGGTATCCCATTGGGTCATATCGTTGAGATTGTCACTGATAGGCACTTGATGTCATGCAACAAATTCGCTAAAGGAATTTTGTCAGACTGTGAGCACCCACTCTACCCGCAGCTCCAACCTTGTGTCTCCTCAGGTAAAACAAGAAGTCTTTTCAGAAGACTTTATGCACGTACGTCTAAGTACAAAAATTCCACTATACAATATTTGGCACGTACTTTATGTGGTGAAAATAGTGTCAGAAATGAACTAACTAACCTTTTTAGCACCACTAAATAGACCATTTCCTCCACCCTTAAAGCATCAAACTTTACTGCTATTGTATTTCTTATATTTATAATCCTCTCAATTTTTCCGTTTTGTTTATTTTTTTCATAAGTGTGGTCATAATTTTAAGCTGTATTATGACTGTTAACTTTGTATTTCACCTCACTATACCATATCAACAGAACATTAGACCTAATTATCCATAACATGCTAAAGTTTCCAAACTGAATCGACAATACCGTTTGAAACAAACTCACTGTTATTAGTATTTATTATTATTATTATTACTATATCTAATAATTATGTCGTAAATGTGGACAAATTCCTGCGATTAATTTTTGTTTTAATTTTTAATTTCATATACATTTTGAGTAAATCAGATGCAATATTGTGACAAATACTGAGAATTCCATTCTGTATTATAAGTACTGTTTTTGGAATAAAGTAAATTATTATTATTAGTCCCGTGTGTTGTTTATATGATTTCTTTTCATTATTATTTCAGGGACATGAAGGCGCCATTCATGCTGTATCTCCATCACCATTCGATGAAAATATTTTAGCCACAGGTGGAGTTGACGGTCGTTTTCAACTGTGGAATATCTCAAATCTTCGACGTTATGAACAACAGCACAAAAAACAGTATGATGAAGAGAATCATCTTTTTGCTGAAACTGGTCATACATCGTCGACAGAACAGCCTCTCCTATTTCATCATCGTTTCCCTCCTAGTGAATTGGATGTTACACAAGGTTTAGTATGGCGTTTTAACGACCCAACAGATGATCAACCGATATGGCCTCGTCGAATACCGAATCCTTTCATTCGTAGAAATACTCGTGAACAGTCGATGGTAGTGGCTGTAGATCAGACGACGAATTCAACAAGTGAGAACATCACTGGTGCAGCTGGTGGTAGTACTAGTAATAATACGTCTAACCATTCATCATCCCTTCGTACACTGACAGAATCTCGTTCTACTTCAGGAACAAGAGGAGGTGGTGGTGGTGCAACAAATAGTAGTAATACAAAACTACAACGAATAACCGCCTGCCGTGTATTACCTACAGCTGAAGGTGTTGGATTCCTTGTAGTTACAAAGAGTGGTGTCATGTCATTATTTTCTCCATCAGAAGAATCTACATCTTACACTTCTCAGGTGAGATTACTATTATTTTTGGCATCATTTTTAAATTTGAGATGAGGAGAGGAGATAGCGCGTGATCCGTTTCAAGCAGTTGGTACCCTGGGCTCTGCAATCATGCAAACACTAATGCTCCTGTTTCAGGCCAGTCAGTCAGTTAATCTGACTTACCGAATGGCTATTTGAGTAGTGATATTAACGTTCTGGGTTCGACCCCTAATAGCTTCAGAGGACGATACTACTGAAGAGTCCCAAAAATAGCAATAAACAACGATTTTAATTGTCTTACTAAGATAAAGTGAAGTGAAAATTAGATTCACATTGTATAATATAGATAACGATGGCCACAATGCAGTGTGATTCAAAATCCATTTGTGTCAGACATGTGTAGGTTCATGTAGGTTCACCTATTTATGAACCAAAACTGCTTTTTTTTCGAGACAACAATGCTGATTAACAGTGGGGTTAGATAGGGTTGTTCAATCTTTTCATTTCTCCTTAACTCTGCCATTGGTGAAATTCTGGAGTCACCTATGAAGGAAGTGCGTGGTGCTGTTGGCGGTGTAGATCTACTTCCTGGAGAAAAACTTTTCCACCTCGAGTATGCAGGCGATATTGTCTTACTGTGCAATAGCATGCAAACTGCCTAAATCGCACTTAATCAGTTTGCAGTCAATGTTTAAGTGCAAAGTACTGTTACAAGATTAGCTGCTGGGAGCCTGTACCTGCACTCACTCTTGCAGGTAAACCACTTGAAGTTGTCGATGGAGGTGTAACTGACGAGATTTCTGACGGTATCATAAAACCTAGGGTGGCATGCGCTAATCTTAGCCACCTCTGAAGCCGTCGTGACGTTAACCTGACTGTACAAGGTTTGGTTTACAATGCTTCGAGCCTCTGTGGGAACATCGTCACTCACTGGGGAATGCAGGGATAAATCCAGATGACGAGTCTCAAATCGAACGAAATGCACATCCTGGATTCCACTGCTAGTCACTATCCACCAGTTAACTTCTAATTACATGCCCAGAGAATCTGGACAAGAAGCCGAAATGTTAACCTGAAACCGAGCACTTCGGTCCAGTCAATCAACAGGAGGATCTAAAATTGAATTCAGTATTATTCTAGTCCTTTTTGACATCCCCGTTTTCCTCTCATTCGTCTACCACTGTTTCTTTGCTACGTGTTTTATAGAAGTTTTGTTCACAATGACAACTGATCATATTTCTTTGGTGTATTTTCTCCTACTTTTATTTTAGTCCAGTAACGTTGAGTCAACACCATTAGTTGATGAACAATTCCTTCACTGGGAATTGGATACAGCCGAATGGAGAGAAGTTGTACCACAGATGTCTACAATGCATAACAACAGTGATTCCAATCTACTTCGTATATATGAGAATACATTACACGTATTAGGAAGTCCTCCAGCACAACAAACTATCTCTCCAGTGTCAAATACCCGAGTTAATTCATCACGAAGAAGGTTACAGAACAATAGTATCAATAATAATAATAATAACAATAATAATAATATTGACTTCAATAATAATAATAACAATAACAATAGAATATCAGATCCATCTGATGGCAACAGCAGTGTTCGTTATACACCTCCACCTTGTGTCCTCTACGAGATTGTACATGCTCCAAGTGGTGTACCGTTTCATCGATTACCACCAGGTTATTTAACAAATTTCAGAGGATTTCCATATCCATCTAGACGTCAAAAAGAAATACCAGGTCGTAGTCATCTGGTAGAACCGTTGGATTTATTGCCATCAGTAACATTAGATGAAGAAAGTGAGTTGCTGTTGTTGTCGTTGTTTTTTTTTGTAATGAATAATAAGCATCATTTAAGTAGTATCTGTCGTTGTGAAGCTTTTATTCTAGAAGTTTTACTTTTATCCTGCCATTCTTAGTGTCACCTTGTGGGGTAGTAGTGGGCACAGGTGAACATTTAATGGAGGTATTCGTAAACTACTCTCAGTTTTGGATTGGCTGAATTTACGTTATATGTCTAACTTTGAAACAATTCTGTGTATGGTTGTAAAGTGCATACGTGATGCCCACATATTATCTGCTTCTAAATGCTGTACTAGTTTTCCCTGTGTCTAATTCTCCTTTTCTGGTATCAAACATAATATTATTGCTTCCTTTAATTCCTAGAGGAACATAGGGCTTCAGCCGTGCGTCTCCATTGTGTTCGGTTCCCTGCTAGAGTCTTCACCTGGCTCCAAGTCTGCCCACACGCTTTCATCTCCTCTTCACATGACCTCCTCCAAGTCACCCTTGCACTGACGAACAACTCGCCGCTTCCCTTTCGGCTTCCACTCGAGCAATGGCTTGTCTAGTGATGTCACTTGATGGTTTGTTTCCTCAGAGTATGGCCAGTCAATCCATCTCCATTTCTTCCTGCCTATTTGTTTCACAATCGGTTCCTGGTTGGTTCGCTGATTGCCAGAGATCTCTGTTGCTGATCTTTTCTGGCTGACCATCTGATCTTGAGTATTGAGCGAAGAGAACTAATAATGAAGGTCTGTAGTTTGTTTGAGATGCTCTTTATGACGTGCCGGTCAAGTCTCTGATCCGTACAGTAGCACTGACTTCACATTGGAGTTGAAAATCCGGATCTTATTTTTGATTCTGAATGCTGTTGACTTCCACACGGACTTGAGCAAAGTGAAAGCTTGTCTTGCTTTGATATCCTCGTCAGTTTGCCTGTAGGTATCAAACATAAGGAAATCTGTATGTTTTGCATACGTGGACCTTCATGGGAAACCGCTTATTACAGCCTGTTTGGTGAATCCATTTGAGTGATTTAAACTTATTTAGGTATCGGAAAATCCCCATGAAGTCTAAACCATTAAAACCGCTCACACTTTCTACTCCCGTAAGACTTCTACTTGACTCTACAATTCAATGGAGACTCATCATCGGCAGAAATACTGAAAAACCAACCACCTATTCCACTCATTGGAGAAAACATTCTTCATGGTTGAACTTCGAATTTCTCTATAAAACTAATGATTCTCACGGACGTGAACGTGGATAAGCTACCACGGCTGGTTACCTCATCAATGTGCATTTATCACTTCATCTACTCGTGTGGAACTAAGTATGTCGACCCTACCCAGAGTTCGCCATCCGAACATATCACTGAACACTCAACCTCTAATGCTTTTATAAAGGTGAAAAGAAATCCACACCACACCTCACCACAGTAACTCTATCCTGGAACACCTCACATCGAATCTGGACACCAAGTTAACCCCCCACAAAGTAACTTCAAAGTTATCCACCTGAAATGTTTGTCGTTCATCATCGGATAATTCATATAAAGCATGGGTTCTTTGTGATATGTTTCGTTCAAGTTCGCGTGTGCGTGAACGGATGGCGTCGATGTGATTCACTGTGTGTGTGACGTTTTAGTTTCTTTGAATTAGGGTAAATATGATTCCGATTACGATTGTACAGCTCATGAAATTGAAGCGTCGAAAAGAAAATTTTCTTCGCTGTTTGTGCCGTTTTCTTATAACTCAATATGGGAATATTTCGTTCATTTAATGAACACTCATTACTCTATTTTCTATTTTCACTATTTCGTTTCTTCAGCTGATGAAGATATCGTTGTGGATGATATTCAATTTTGTTCAAATATTCCACCAGATTATTGTCCATTACCACAATTATCAAATAATGAACCAGTCCATGGGAAAACGTATTTATGGTGTTCACCATGGTTAACTAGTCATACACCATTAATCGAGTCATTTGAAGGAGAAGAGTTGAAGTATGTGATTAATCCTTTTTTACATCATAAGTTTATAATTTTGTCTTTTTTTCATGTGATGTGGGGGGGGGGGCGTGTGCACTGCTCAGCAGTCCTATCTGTCCTCCTTTATGGTCGTGAGACCTGGCCATTAAGGTATCTTCGTTCTATCTCCTTGTCAAGTGGTATGATGAGGCGAGCAGTATTGAGGTTAGGCATCGGTCGAGTGCTATGTAAGGAGGGGAAATTAATCGGCAAGGCTCTCTCAAATTACATCGGTTGAGATGGTTAGGACATGTGTTACACATACATCTCCATCCTCGACGGGCAATGTTAGCTTACATAGAATGGATCAGGTTGGAAAAGAGAAAGCTAGTGATGGTCAAACCAAAATATGGTTTCATCAGTCAATGAAATCCATAACGCTTCGTTTAATCCAGCCACGTAGAGAGGTGTAGACTTCCTGGCTGACTGGTTGAGGTTTTCGGGATGATAAGAACCAATGAAGGCTGGAAACAATTGGTGATATTGCTGAAAATCACCGTTCTCAACGGCTGGTGCAGATGCATCCACTCCTTGTGATTTATAATATCCAATAAGACTATATGATTCTTCGATATTTCTATTCTTTTTGCCTCATATTACTGTTTATTATGTCTCTTGTGTGCGTCGGTGGCACAGCTGTTAAGACGCTCGCCGACTATGCACATGGTCCGGAGTTCGGTCCCCGGCCGGCGCACTCCTACCTCGTTAAGCCAGAACTGAAGCTGGTGAAGAGGAAAGGTTAGGCATGAGGCTAGCACCCCCATCCTGTAAAAATAAACACCACTGCTACCGAAACTTCAAGTCTCTAGCTTGAAGTCCTACGTTTCACTGAGAACGTGAAGGAATAAAAAATGTCTCTTTTGAATTGCTTTCTACTCTCTTTTCTTGGTTTGTGTACTACATGGAGGGAGGGAGAGTGGCAACTCGAACTGCTGCACATCGGTGCAAAGTTCTATGTTGAAAGCAGTCAGTCAGTCATGTGTTTCGAGGGGACGTCTTTTAGCTTACTTAATACTTAATCCTGAAAAGTTGGTGGTTCTTTGACTTTGAATAGAGGCCTTCGACAGCACTGAACCGTGAAGTAATTTGGAAACTACTTCAATGTTATGGAGTACAGTGCCCCAAATCTTTATCAACCCCATTCAACAGCTGCATGACAATGCCATATGCGAATATATCCACAACAGAAAACTCAGCGATGTATTTGAAGTGAATACGGGAGTAAGACTAGACTGTCTGGTTTCTACGAACGATGATATTCCTAATTATGGTGGGCTGAATTATGCAGCGAGAAAACAGGAATACGTCGGATCGATAAGGAAACTCTAGAAGATGTGGACTTTCCGGATGTTTTATGTTTAGTTTCCCATAAACTCTAAGACTTACATGCAGAAACCAACAAGTTGGCAGAAAAGGCTGTCAACAAGAGCAGGACTTCAAGAGAACATGGAGAAGACAATGATGAAGACATTTAGTCAATTACAATAAGCATCAGTTACCATCAGCGGGAGAAATTTGAAAGAGCTCACTTCCTCCACTTATCTGGGTAGCATCATTTCAACTGCGGGCAGTTAGTACAGATGTGGATCTCAAAGCAAGCCATTCAGTTTCAGGAAGGCAAGGCAAACCTTAATTACTCTGAAATCAGTTTGGAAATTTTCTGCAGTCACTCAGCATGAACAACAAAATTCTGAATTTCAACACCAATGTTAAGTGGAGTAGTTCTTCTCTATGAGTCAGAAACGTAGCCAGTACGTCACGACATGCATTTCCAACAGACCACTGCAGAAGTTCTTTTCAGCAACTTGTTTCGCTGTCAATTGAAAATTAGACTACCAAAAAGATTTGGCAACAAAAAACAGAGTGAACGCACCAACCAAGAACCTATTGCTCAACAAGTATGCCAGAGACAGATTGGGCACACGTTGATGAGACCGTTTGGTGACATCGCACACCTGGTTATGACTAAGGTGAAACTCGAACGTGAAATGACGAATTGGGCGTTGGTCTGTAGTTGTCATGTAGAAGGTGGTCGTGTAGGGAGGAAATGAGAGCTTATAGGCAGTCGTGGATCCAGGGGAAGAGGAATGCAGGTAGTGGGACAGAGTGGAGATGTGTAGTTGAAGCCTATATGCTCCAGTCGTATCCCAAGAGAACAATAATAATAATACTGAACCAAAATTCTAAAGCACTTGACATTTATCGCCAAATGGATTCGGCGACTTTTATTATTTTGTTTACAGTTCCGACTTATTCAGCAAGTTTTCATGGATGCCGTGGTGGTCGGGCGTGAACACCGCAATGACCCAACAAGCTATACTGGCTGGAACTTATGTTCCTGTAGGTCCTACCATGCCAGAGATGTTGTTTGGATAGCGGTTAGACTAAAAGCAGTTACCCAATCCAATCCTATGACTCCAAATAAATCAAAAAATATCATGCCGGATCGGTCGGGGCCCGGATTAACAACGACCGCGCTTTCTGCTGCCGTGTCACAGGGCAGAAGTGATAAATGTGCTATTGAGACACAACAAATGAAAAACAACAAACGAAAACCGGCCGTGTGTGACCGGCCTCAAGTAGTTGTCCCCTGGGCTCTGCGGTCACGCAACCAACTTCCACAGTGTGGGCAGCCGGGAAGTAACAATCGCCCTCACAATCCGAAGTGCTCGCGAAACCTCTCTAATCCTCACTCACCTTTGTCTTCATCTTCATCTCTATTATCTTGCCTTCCTTCTACTAATGCAACTCCTCTACTTAATGGCCCTTCACTTCCTCTTCACTCTGTGTACACTGAAAACGACGGAAGCCAAAAGACCACCACCGATAGTCTCCTAAAGCCACGTCACCAATTTCATATAGGGGCATTTAATGTTAGGACTCTTTGCCAAATAGGACAAGAAGCATCACTAGCCAAGACTCTGGCATCCCGAGCCATTGATGTATGTTGTGTTTCAGAAACACGCATACAAGACCCAAGTGTGGTTATTCACCTAACCCCACCTGGCCAACAGGATGAATCTGCAAAATTCACCTTGAGGGTGTCAGGAGATGCCACAGCTAGCTCACGAGGATTAGCTGGTGTTGGGATAGCTTTGAGTACAAGGGCAGAAAAGACATTACTTGACTGGATCCCGGTAGATAGCCGAATGTGTGCTGTCCGTTTGAACGGATCAGTGAAAAGGAGAAATGACTGCACTACTCGCCGATGCCTTTTCGTAATCTCCGCCTACGCCCCCACTGACTGCAGTTCGGATGAAACGAAGGATTTCATGGATGGTGGATTACTTGTGTTGTTCACGGTAGAGTGATTCCAGCAAACAAAGATAGTGATAGGAGATTGGTGAACATTGTCCAAACACTTTAACATAGTAAAGTAGATATCTATATTAGCAGCTGATTGTCGGATTACAGCATATTATGTCTTCTGTTGTTTATTTCCCATTTTTTTAGTTTAAAAATTGCTGAACAAAATCGAAAATATGAAGAGGAGAAAAGTTTCTTTTGTGCTGGTGGTGAACCTGTTGTATCTTTTGGCGATGACGTAAGTGAGATATTTTTGTAAAAGTCTTTTAAATAATTTAAAAATTGGTAGATAAAGTCTGTTTTGATCGCTCTACTGGTATAATTCTTTCATAATAGCTCAGATAGATGATTTGCAATTAATAGTGTTCTCTGAGCTGGTCTGCATTAACGTGTTTGTTAATTACATATTCGTTTGAGTACCAGGCTTCTAGGAATTCCCTGGCAATTTTGGCGTTTCCTCTGTCTAAGATTTCGACATTATCCCAATCAAATTGATGCTAATAATTGCGCTGAATGTGTTATCGAGAAGGACGATGAAAGCTTCGCAACTGTGAACCAACCAGCTCAGAGAACACTATTAATTGCAAATAATTCCTTCATTTTATACAAAATCCCAGATTCTAACCACCTTCAACCCGTCGGCTCTAGAAGAGATAAAATGTCAAGAGAGAACTTCTTCCCTGCGTTGAAACTCATCGCCTTTGCAATTTGACGTGTTTAAGTCTGTGACAACTCATAGCTGATGAACTCGCTTAAATGTGTCGTTTTCGCTAGTTACGTGGTTCTCAGATTATTTATTTATAAATGCTGTAATTACATTCTGTGTAAATATTATTGGCTGCATTAAAACAATTATTATTATTATTTTTATAATTAGGTCGATTAAGCTACAAAAAATCACCGATTCATTGAAGTGTTTCCATAAAATCGGTAGTGTTTGTATCAAAAAATACAAACATAACACAATTGTGTATTTTTTAATCTTCTTGTTGGTTCACATAATGACATCTTGCATCTACTGTTTGGGTTCGCTGGGGGATGGAGAACAGGTGCATAAAACGTACATCATCGGAGCTATAAGGGTACAGCCTTTACATAATTTACGTTAGATGATCGGAAGTAATTGGCAGGAAGTCGTGGACTTTGGTGTCGTGCTTTTTGACATTTACCAGTCAGCAAGGTGTATCTACAATCTTGAAGGAACTTATTTCCCCTCAGAGATTCATTTCCGAGTTACATAGCGTTGCAGTTAGAAACGTTATCAATGAGTTCTTCAGACTCGCGGTGCACTGTGAATGGTTGATATTAGATGGTCGGAGACAATCGGCAGAATGTCTGGTCTGACCTAGGTTTTGTGCTAGTTGGCATTCATCAGCCAGACGTGTCTGCAACGTGGAAGGAACTCATGTCCCTTCTGAGGTTCAAACCCACGTCACCAAGTGTTACCTGCAGTCTCAGATGTTACCGCTGAGCTATTCGGTTTCGCAGTTGACCTCCTATAGTAGTCGGTTCATTCAGTCAGATATTTTTCCTGTACGCTGAGTGAGTCATTTATTATCATATTATATTATTGTTTCCTTTAATTCCTAGAGGAACATAGGGCTTCAGCCGTGCGTCTCCATTGCGTTCGGTTCTCTGCTAGAGTCTTCACCTGGCTCCAAGTCCGCCCACACGTTTTCATCTCTTCTTCATATGACCTCATCCAAGTCACCCTTGCACTGACGACCAACTCGCCGCTTCCCTTTCGGGTTCCACTCGAGCAATGGCTTGTCTAGTGATGTCACTTGATGGTTTGTTTTCTTAGAGTATGGCTAATCCATCTCCATTTCTTCCTGCCTATTTGTTTCACAATCGGTTCCTGGTTGGTTCGCTCATTGCCAGAGATCTCTGTTGCTGATCTTTTCTGGCCGGCCATCTGATCCTGACTAGTAATGAGCAAAGACAACTGTTGATGAAGGTCTGTAGTTTGTTTGAAATGCTCTTTATGACGCGCAGTGCATGTCTCTGATCCGTATAGTAGCACTGACTGACTTCACATTGGAGTTGCAAATCCGGGTCTTATTTTTGATGCAGAGTGCTGTTGACCTCCACACAAACTTGAGAGTAGTGAAAGCTTGTCTTGCTTTTCCGATTCTTGCTTTGATATCCTTGTCAGTTCCTTCCGCCTGTAGTTGAAACGATGCTTCCAGGGAGGTAGGTGAAGGAGGTTGTTTCTTTTAGGTTCCTTTCATTTATGCTGATTGTTGTCTGTTGTTGTTGTTGTCGTTGCTGTTGGAGTGAGTCATTTACAGTCGTTTAATGTGTCATGAAGTAATTGAATAAAATCAATATTTGAACAAAGCAAGAACAACAATTGTACCAGGATAATATGAGCTCATCTTTTGTTATTTCGAGGATTCTTCTCAACTGGTTACAACCTGAACGATGAAAAATATGAATTACATTACATTAAAGATTTGAACATAATTTTCCACGATCACAAGGAGAAATTGGTAGGAAGTAAGAGTAACATTAGTCCGGAATGATTTAAATCCATCCTTTTCACACACACTGATGTCTCTCTTTTAATTACTTTTGTTAGTTTACTGCATCAAAGAATTCAACTGAACAAATCATCATTATGCAACCTGAAGGGAATTGTTTCCACCGACCACATATATCATCACAGAAATTACTTTCTCCAACATTATCAAAAACATCAAAATCGAAAACAAATTCTTGTGATGTACTAAAACATGATGAAATATCCGGGGATGAAAAGAAAGCGGCAGATGTATCAATGACAACTGCCATCGCAAATATCAGTTCAGAACAAATTGTAAGTTGTTGTAATATCGTCATCATAAAAATAATACGGTTAAGGAAACAGATAATAACGTCAGTATTTCCTGGTTCTTCATTTTTGCATACCTTTATTTTTAAAAGAATGAAAACGAGAAGACTAGAAGTTAATTCGGTAGGGGGTTTGTTTCACTTTGGACAGTCATCATCAGAACGTGAATGTGTCTATGTATCTGTCTGTCTATCGTCGCGGTGTATTCCTTGCTTTCTGTCGTTCTTCTTAATTATTCGTCATCTTTTCTGTGTATGGCTTTGTGTGTGAGTGTGTGTGTTTGTGTGAAATTATGGTAATTGCTAAATTAAACTAATACGTGGGCGTAGAAATGTACTCACTAATGTGAGTTGCTGCAACAAAAAGAAAATTGATTGAAGGATTTCATCATAAGCTGACATTGGTCAGAGAACCATTGAAAAACCAGCTGGGAGTACTGGGCAGCTGTTTCATCCTAGTTTGAGACTGGGGCTCGAACTCAGCACCTTCTGGTTATAAGGCCAGCCCATGAATTCTAAATTCTGCCAATTCATGACATATCGTGACCACTTCACAATTTCTTTTTCGATGAGTTACTGCCTCACTTTCAACTTGCTGCACCCTACTGGTCATGACTTCCCACTAGAACTCCAGGTCACTACTTGAATAGGGCCAGTCGCTAATAAGCATCTGATCGATTTTCAAGTATTGGTTTTTTTGTAGGGATTTTGTTTGATTGGTTGGAGGATTTCATCTAACTGATGTCAGCTCATGATGAAATCCGCCAACCAATCAAACAAAATCCCTACAACAACGCAATACTTGAAAAAAGACAGTTAACTTGTGCAGAATTATCAAGTTTTGGCTTACAGGGTTTTGATTGATTACAGATTTGATCATCAGTTGAGATCGATTGAAGAACCTTTGGAAAACCAGCTAGGAGTACTGGAAAGCCGGCTGTTTCGTCCTAATTCGGGACTCTTCTACAATATGCACCCACTGCTAGGCTTTGGATTCAGGAATTTCCGGTTACAAATCGAGCTTGTATATTATTCAATCACTGGGATCCGATCCAATGGCTCATGCATTTCATCTTTTGCATAACCACCATCCAATGTCATAGATGCGAGTAACTGTTCCCTTGCCAGACGTGATAGACCCTTCTGGTCACTACTTCTCACTAGGACTTCAGTTAACTTCCTGAATAGAGCCAGTCATTAGTAAGCATAAGATTAATTATCAAGTGTTGGTTTGCAGGGATTTGATTGGCTACAAGATTGGCAGAAGTTAAAATTTATGAACCATTGGGTCAGGTCACAGTGGCTGAATGGTCTACTAGCTCACGTTGTAACCGGAAGGTCCAGGCTTCGAGTCCCAGTGTGTGCATGCTGATGAGGAGTTCTAAGCTTCGAGATTTTTGGATGGCTCTCTAACTGAATTTGACTTGTGATCAAACCTGTATGCAGAATTTGTATTTCAAAATAGGGTAGAGAATGGACATTTCTCGGTCTGTCTGCTGGTGCTTCGTTTACAACTTCATCTAATGTATCATGCTTCAATTAATGTAATAATCTTGTAGACGGAATAGGTTTCATTGATATAAGAATAAAACTTGGGCACTGTGGTAGAGTGTAATTCCATTATGGGTAAATTTTATTTTGATAGAGTCTCACAGTGTTATACAGTAATATTAACTGATGACGTTTCGAGCACAATTTATTGCTCATAATCATAATGGAATAGGTTTCAGTCTCCTCATTTGGTGGGTGTTCACCTTCTGATCGACTCATGTAACTTTGTCACCTAAAAATTCACTAGTAATTCAGATATACTCGACAAATGTCAACTGCGTTGATGCTTTATGCGTAAACTAGGGCCTTTAAATTAGTTCAACTTCTCAAATGCTGAAACAGTCGATCTATTCAATCATTTTTATTTGATACTTCTTACTTACGTTTGATGCAGTTATGCCAAGTCATCCGACATTTGAAAGTCTGAAAGCATGTGAAAATCTCATCTCAGAGGGTTCAAATCGCATCATCTTTGTACTCTGAATCAATTAGGTTTGTTTTCTCAGATAGTGAATTTTTTACTAAAATTTTGGTAGAGTTATTCTATTATTTTGGTGTATGGTGACTTGCAGTGGAATCGAGGATGCGCATTTCTTCCTGTTTTGGACTCATCAGCTGGATGCAACTACATATCCCATTGAGTGAATGATGGTGTTCCCACTGAGACTCGAACCCAGTGCCAAAAGTTTTATCCACTTTGTGCCATGAAAGCTACCTCTTATGCTAGTCAACATCCACCAAATTTCTTCAAGTTTAATCCTCAAACATCGTGGAAGAATTCGCACAAGGGGCCGACATGTCGACAGAGGTGGTGGTGCACTTCGGTCCAATCATTCGACGGGAAAGTGCGAATTGAATTAAATAGTTACTTAAGTGTTTAAAAGTAGGCAGAGTTATTCCTTTCAGTACAGTCGTAGAAAGGATGGTCACATGAGGTAACCATAAGACGCAACTGGAATACTTTATGGGTAGTTCTCCGCAAGCAGACACTGGCAAACTAACTTTCGATTGGCGGAGTTGTATATGGTCTTCTTCTCAAGAAATATGACGTCATATTATTATTATTACTAATAAATTCTTTTGCGTTCTCACTGGAATACAAGTCTTCAGGGTTGAGCGGTAGCGGTGTTTTCATCTTTTCCGGGGTGAGGTTACTAGTCTCACGCCCAACCTTTCCTTTTTAACGGAATTCCAGTCAGACGAGATTTAGCAGTTACTTTAGTTATTAAAGCAGAGGCTACATAGGTGGTATGAATGTGAGTTATACTATTCTCATATCTCGCTTATATGACTATGGATGGTTTTCCATAGTTTTGGTAGACCTGCAGAGGCTATTCGCATGTGAAATCGGTTAGCTGGGTTAACGATTTCATTAAATTTGGTGAATGCTGGCTTCGCCTATAGAGGCCTGTGTCTCTATGGCGTTACTATGCTTGCTAATTTTGACTAAAATAAAGCGTTTGACTGGTCTTGTATGCGAGATGTGCTCTATCAGGCCTGTCTATGCAGTGCATTAAGCATTAAGCCATACATGTCTGAGTACAAGCCTTAAAAATGGTGAGACTGTGAATGGCTCATTATACTACATGGATAACTGTAGTAATTCTGTCTGTCTGTCTGGATTCAACATAGAACTTGGCACCGAAGTGCAGCAGTTCGAGTTGCCGCGTTCCAAATAGCACACAAAGAGATCGTAGACATCTATGATCAAAAACAGTCAACCTTATCATGTCTTCAACTCGTATTGGCCATGTTTCAGAGCCATAGAGAAGGACTGAGCGAACTGCTGAGCAGTACACACGTCCCTTGGTTGATAGCCGAATGTCACGCCTACGCCAGAGATGGTGTAAGTTAGCGAAAGCAGCTCGAGCTTTTTGGATCCATGCTGAGATTTCGTCACCAATCAGTCCGTTGGTGCTGATACAACTTCCCAAATTGGTGAAGTGGTCAACATGTTGTATCACTTCACTCCCTATCACTAATCTAGGAGTTGACGTAGTCCAGTCCTGTAACAGCATCTTACATTTTACAGGGTCGAAGATTGCTTCTCAGGGTGTTCAGAAGACTCTGCATTTTGTGTATTTGTGCATTTGTGTAGTAATTCTAGAGATAATACACGCAATTATGCCCTGACCTTCAGGGAAACTGGTGCATTCGCTAGAGATTTAGGGGTGCGTCAATTGGGGGGGGGGGATAGAACCCCGAACTACGTTTGTGATTGACGAAGTTTCTACCACTGAGCCACCGATGCCAAATACCACGTCTCCTTATTGGTGTGGATAGAGATAAAAGCACACAGTGATCCAGTATTAATTACTGATAATCATAAATTTTTGATACATGGAACACTAAAATATTATTTTTTTTATTTCAAAACTTGTCCAGGAATGAAAACACAATTTGAATTTATCTAACCTTGAATATTAGGAGTGTATTTTTATTCCATTCTTTGGTTTTAGACTGCATAATTCAGCTGCTTACTGGCTTGTATTACTTACTTACTTTACTTCGGCTATCTCCTACGGGAGGATGAGCCGGCTTGATGAACATCTCGAATCATCGCTGCCCAGGAGCGGCGATCGTTTGTAAGAGAGTTCATGAAGTTTCATGGGAATTTGGTACGAGTGATGTCCCCAGAATCTCTCGGCCTTTTGTTTGAGATTGCAGCTCTAGCCTTTACACAACCAAGTGTGACCTACAAGGCGGTAGGAGTGGAGTAGGGAGTCCACTATCCATTGGCAGCCGGTGACCGGAGTTCGGTTCATACGCCTTTTTGAATGGGGCCAGACATCCAGGACATCCAACAAGTCCTTTGTCCATACGTCTTCCGGTGAGCTCCAGTGATCTTCATACGCCAGTCGTTGGAGGTTTGGAATCAGGGTTTAGCCATCTCCCCTAGACTGTCATCCAATGGACAGTCAACCCGGTGAAGAGCGCCGGGCATCCGCTTTCGCCCTCTCACTTTGGTGAAAAACACCTCCGCCACGTGAAGGCAGTGAGTAGGACTTCCTCAGGAGAGGCTATGTAAGACGCCCGGTCATATGGGAGCATTTGAAGAGGTGTGCGGAGGGGTGGCCAACCCGCAGCGCAAGGCCCCCACCCGCGACCATCCTGAGGCTTTGGAGGCTTGTATTGTTGCGTCCGTGAAAGGGATACCTTAGATTCTAATAAAGAATGTCAAATGTCTATATTTCTCCCTCTGTAACCAGTCGCTATTTTGCATTTTCCCTCTCTCTCTCGCTTTAGGATAGTAAAGATTCAGGAAATACTCTTCGTGTATCTACCAGGTCTTCAACATTACCACAAGTTAATCCTAGTCAACCTTCAGTCTCTCTTACAATACCAACAGATGATCAAGATGATGCTGAAGGTCAAGATGATTCTTCTGAGGAATCTGAATGGTCAGCACATATTGATGTTGATATTGGATGGTGGAGAAGGCAACGTCGTCGAAGAACTCGACGTCAAGTGGCAATGATAAATGGAGCTGATATATCCGCTTCAAATGATGCTGATCAGATAAATTCTAATGATTTAGACAGTCTAGAAATGGAACTTGATCAAGATGATACCAATATAGAAATGATATCTTATGATGATATCGGGGATGCATCTCTTTCCTCTGGTTATACAGAAACTAATCAAAGTGGGTCGAATATGGAAGGGAATGTTCGACGTTCCCTGCGTCAACAACGTCGTCTCCTCTTGAAGAGAAGACTTCTACGAGAGGCGAAAAGAGCTGAAGCAAGAGCTAAAAAAGCAGAAATTGAAAGGAGATGTTCATCGGCACGTCGTTCTCGTCGGTTTCTACGCCTATCTAATGATGATAGTAGTAGAATAGATGAAGATTCTACAAGTCGTGATACATGTATGCCTGAATCTTCTAGTCGTCAATCTTGCAAGTCAGCGCAAGTGACTGAAACTGTAAAAAATGAAGCCTTATCGTCGAGAAGAGAACGTCTTAAACGCCGTCTAGTTCGTAGTGTTGATTACGCTGTCATGGTAAGCATTATTTATCTACTAATATTGTGTTCACTTTATCGGTTTTCTTGTGTGTGTGTGTGTGTTAAAGTTTGACAGTGAGGGAGATTACTGAAGTGGGATGATATTGGTGTATATGATTGTCAGCCACCACTGATTAGATATATGAATCAATAAATAAATAAACGAATTGGCGGGAGTTAGAATTCATGTGGTGGCCATTCAATTGGGTTCCAGTGGCTGGAATAGTCTACTAGGTCGCCCCGTAACCTGGACGTCGTGGACGCGAACCCCCCTGTGGCGAGTGGTTGATGATGACGAGTCCCAAACTTGGAGGAAACAATTAACTGTTCAGTACTCCCTGGTGATTTTCAGTGGTTCTGTAACTGATGTCAATGCGTGATCATTCCTGTAAATAAAGCCGCTTCAGCCTTAAGTTCAGTAGACATGTGTGAAATGGATAATCTGAAAATGAAGTACAATCGGAAATGTGAACATATGAATATTATATGGTGGAGACATAGGATGAGTGAAATGTTATCAAAATACTAGACTAGATAAAGTGTCAGAATATGATAACATAAAGTAAAATTAGAACAAGACATATAAGCGAATAATATTGTTTTCAGTTAGATCTTCTTCAGGCTTTACTCTAATTTACATAGATTTATATATAAAATTTTAACCAATGACGGTGATTTTGGGAATCAAATAATAATAATAATGTGGTAGGGCGTACAACTAGACACCCTAACAAATGCATTAATGAGCATCTTCCTTCATGGTTCGGAAAAGGTCAAATAAAATCCATACGAAGTTCTATTTTGGCTCATTTGATTGATAGCGGTCACCAAGTGGACAAAAATAGTGCTTTCAAAGTTATCTATCGTATTCCATCGAGTCTTTCGAATGGAATCAGAACCCGTCTTTTACACCTAGACAAAGCTATGGGAATTCGAGAGAACAATCCTAGACTTTGCATACAAAAGAAGTTTGTTCTACCTTTGTCTCTCCCTTGGCCTAGGTGAATTCTGTTCAAAAACCCTCCCACCCTTTCTTATTTTCCATCTCCTTCGTACTTTTATAATATTTATTTAAACTCTGATTATCGTTCCACTTCACCTTTTAAGATTTGACCTAATTTATTTATACACTTATATACATATACTATCTTTGTTATTCTTATCACCACGTGCATAAACCTTATTATCAATATTTTGTTATCATTATAATCATCGTTATTAATTTCGTTCAAAACATTTACCACATTATTATTATTATTAGATTCCCAAAATCACCGTCATTGGTTAAAATTTTATATATAAATCTATGTAAATTAGAGAAAATCTAATTGAAAACAATATTATTCGCTTATATGTCTTGTTCTAATATTATAAATGGGAATATTTAAAGATAAAGTAAAATGAAATGAAGCAAAAATGGAACATGGAATAAGGAAGGATAACAAAGTTCTTATTTGAATTACATAGTAAACGTCTAGACCATGGTAACGAAACAGATCGTACTAATTGTTTTTGTACACGGAGTTCTGGCTTTGTGTTATGCATTGCTAAAGCCTGCGCTATACAAAGCAAATGCATTCGCGTCTCTTTTCGACAAACTTTACAGACTGTATTAAATGACGCATCAGATGCTGTGTGGTCAGTATCTAGAATATGTCGCGATATCGATCAATTAATATTTTTACGTTTTTCTTTGCTCAGCCGAACTGGAAGGTGCTCTCGAATGCGGCGGAATATGTTTCTCGACGATTCCTATGTACCTATGTACCGCATATAAATACGCAAGGAATTAGACAGTCAAGATAACATTTCCTTGACATTAAGGTGCACAAGAGGCCGGCTAGACTAGGTTATTCGTAAAGTTGCAGCAAAGAATGTTTTCCTCAGTGATCCTCTCGGACAAATTTTGAGTACCTCATTCTCAGTATCACTCTAAAATTCTAAGTTTAAGTGCAATCGAATTTTAGCCAACTTATCAGTCTCTGCATTTCTTCCACGTAATTCGTTATTGGCCTCAACGAATCGTAGTGGATACCCATTCTCAATGAAGGTTTCTTTCAATTGTTTGGGTTCATCATCAAACAGTCTTCACTACAAATTCCTCCACACACCCGTGTGCAGAGAGAACGGTTTGGATTCCTTTTTCTGTGTATGAGTACAAAACTGTAAAAATTGGTCACTTGTCCTGTCCACATCGATTTCCTGTAAATATATATCTTCTCAAAGACCACTCAGCTGTCTCCTTGTGAGTAGTAGCATATCAACGAAAGATATTTTTCATTTCTGTGACTCATAATCGTATACACCAATATTATCGCACTTTTGTATTCCCATTCACTGTCAAACTTTAACACCCAACCCCCCCACCCCCAAACACAAGAAAACTGATTGTTATTGTGTATAATCATTCATATCTACATATGCGATTGTACAAGCATGAAAATGAATTTTATATATTCTCTATGTGTATAAATTTATTTCAGTCAATCAATTCGAGTATTCGGGTAATGTTCCAAAATTGATATTACTCATTTAAATGAAATGATTACATCCCACACACCCCGCCCCCCCCACTTCCATCTCCGTGGGTGTAGTATATCATGATTCATCGCCATCTGTTCTTCATAGTTTTTGTTTATTTATTTATTTGTTTTTCTGTTTGTTTGTTTGTCATTGTGTATTTGTTCCATTGATCGTTATCATTCTGATCTGATGACCAGTGTATGTGCATGCCAACCACCTCGTCATTATTACATAATCATCATCACCATCACCGACTATCTATCTATCTATATATTTGCATATAATAATAATAATAGTAATACTAATAACAGCTTTATTATTTGTGAACAGTGTTTGTGTAATGTACAGAATTTTCAGCCGAGGTTCTTGCATGATGTTCCCTCCTCCTCTAGGATCTTCAAATAATAAAAGATTAATTAACAGTAGTACATCGTGTGTGCGTCAGTGGTATAGCGGTTAGGATGCTTGCCGACCATGCACATGGTCCGGGGTTCGATTCCCGACCTCCAAAGCCTCAGGATGGTCGGGGGTGGGTGCCTTGCGCTGCGGGTTGGCCACCCCTCCGCACACCTCTTGAAGTGCTCCCATATGACCGGGCGTCTTACATAGCCTCTCCTGAGGAAGTCCTACTCACTGCCTTCACGTGGCGAAGGTGTTTTTCACCAAAGTGAGAGGGCGAAAGCGGATGCCCGGTGCTCTTCACCGGGTTGACTGTCCATTGGATGACAGTCTAGGGGAGATGGCTAAACCTTGATTCCAAACCTCCAACGACTGGCGTATGAAGCTCACTGGAGCTCACCGGCAGATGTATGGACAAAGGGCTTGTTGGATGTCCTGTATGTCTGGCCCCATTCAAAAAGGCGTATGAACCGAACTCCGGTCACCGGCTGCCAATGGATAATGGACTCCCTACTCCACTCCTACTGCCTTGTAGGTCACACTTGGTTGTGTAAAGGCTAGAGCTGCACTCTCAAACAAAAGGCCGAGCGATTCTGGGGACATCACTCGTACCAAATTCCCATGACACTTCATGAACTCTCTCCGTCTACGGACTCCGTCTGTGGAACAAGAATTGGATAACCCTGTCGCAAAACCTTGCATCAGATCGCCGCGCCTGGGCAGCGATGATTCGAGATATTCATGAAGCCGGCTCATCCTCCCGTAGGAGATAGCCGAAGTAAAGTAAAGTAAGTAAGTTCGATTCCCGGCCGACGCACTTCTTTACTTCGCTAAGCCAGAAATAAAAAAAGCTGGTAAAGTGAAAAGGTTGGGCATGAGGCTAGCAACCCCATCCTGTAAAATAAACACTGGTACAGAAACTTCAAGCCTCTAGCTTGAAGGCACCCTATGTTCCACTGGGGAATGTGAAGGAAAAAAAAAGTACATCGTGTGACGTAGTTCTCTCTCTGACCTGAAGCGCGATACCACTCCATTATGGTGATATTTCTTCTTTCTCTTCTTAGAGATCTACATACACAACTTTTTTGTTGAATGTCATTTATAAAGAGTTCAAGAGGACACCTATTTTCTTTTGAACCAAGGGCACAATCTAGGAATAGTTGTCTCATGTATGTGGCGAGTCAGCAGGTTGTAAACGTTTTAAAAACTTTTCGTTTTGTATTCAGATACTGATAACAGCAATCAATTATTGTTGATTTGAATCGCTGCATTTCTTGTTCGGAGGTTAGAGTTAAATTATTTGTTTGGGTGATTAAGTTTTCAAATTGTGCATGTATGTAGTCTGTTGGCGTTTAGGTTGACGGGTTTCTACGGTACTCTGTCAAACTTGCGATAGCGAAAGCGAAAATTACTTCTTTTCAATGATTGTATCATCGATCGCGAATATCCAAAGTGGTTTTGGAAAGCACTGCAAAGAAGTCACATATATCCCAACACTAAATCTCTCCGACGACATGCATTAAATCTTATCGACTCTATTAAATCACGTACTACAGAACTACAACGCAACATTTCACATAGGTCTCCAGCCCTCCACGATCTGCTACTTAGTGAAACTCATAGCTTTACTGAATACGTCAATTCAGTCGCTGAAAAACGGACACAATCTACGATATCGCAACTCACAAAAAGCCTCAAATCCATCAAAGCACACAAACAGCTTCCTGAAGATCCCTCAAAATTCGTATTTAACTACTCTTCAGTAGTTTTATCCAACCTGCAGTTAGAAGTCCTATCCATGGGTCCGAAATTCTGCGACGTCAACCTAAACGCCAACAGACTACATATTCATGTACAATTTGAAAATTTGATCACCCAAACAAATGTTTTTAAAACTCCCCGGCGTAGACAGAACTGTGTTAGAGGTCATATTTTACTAAATTAAATTCAAATAAATTGAATAAGAGAAAAAATTGATTAGAACTTTTTAGTGGTGGTAGCCCAAGTTTTAGGCAGGTCCCCTAAATTTTATATCAACTGTAACACTAAGTAGTCTTATCAAAGTGCACTGTTGTT